AGCAGTTGGATGGGCATATACGAGCATATTGCGTCGAACGCAGCCCTCGCCTGTAAAATCTCTCGGACGACGGAAAACGCTCGTCGAAGCCCGAGGCAAGCCGGAGGCAAGCCGCCAGCAAGGGGAAAGCCCTTTCCAACAGTTGAGCGACTGGGCAAAGAATGGTACACCTAGCTCAGGTAACCACAAAGGAGAATGTACATGGGTACCTTCATACGCTGAGAACCATTCTCTTGTCAGGTCAATCGAGATCCACACGTGTCCTTTTGTTGTGCGCCTGCAAGGGCGACCGGTCTGTTTGCCGGTTGGAGCCATTTTTCATTTTCCAAGGGACCGTATGAAGATGTGAATGGTTAGTGCGGCTGTCGAGTCAGTGTAGATTAGCGCTGAATGACTGAAATAAGATGGGAAAGGATAACGACGCGGAGCCATTCCGTGAGGCTGTTGTCTCCGTCTTGGCTGTCGTCTCAACGATGAGCTGTTGGTCTTGTACCCGAACACGACGACGACAAGACAGGGCTGACAGAGCCACAGGAATGTGTTGAGAAAGGCATGGAGGTCGTCTCACGCACGCGGTGCGTGGTGCATGAAACCAGGGAAGCAGGCAAGTCGACAAAGATCCCTGCCCAGACTGGCAAGAAAAGGCAGGATTCCTTGATCGACGGCTGCGACACGCTAAGCGACACATGCGAGTGGGAACCTTTTGCTCACACGAATCAAGCAAATCAGGCGGGCTGCAGGCGTGGCGGATGACTCAAAACGCCATGCGATCTAATGAGGGATGGATACATGCATGAAGGTGCCTGGGCATACGACGCACAGGAGCGGGCAAGTGGAAGACGAGCGGATGCACGTGGAACAGACTGCGACTTCGCACGATCGGCGGGAGGTGGCAGAAGAGGTGGAAGGGTGCTAGAAGCATTTGGCGAGACAGCGGATGCGGTGAAGAAGAGAAGAAGAAGGCGAGCGAGATACGTGCGTAGGGCCGAGCGAGCGAGCGGCCAAGGGTAGAGGCACGGTGTGTTTACAGGGAAGAATTAGCTGTAGCCGTTTGACAACAGTCAATGTTAGTGGGCAACGGGTGGATAATGAATTGATCACCGCTGTGGTTGATGAGGCATTGCGCACGCGGTGCTCGAAGGTAGCGTGGCCGCCCCCTCCGTGCTGGTCCAACGGCGCTATCCACGGAAAGGGGAAGGTTGATCAAACCCCTGCTACCACGCGAGCAGGGCGCCGGCTAGCTGATCTCATGGCTCCGAAAATTGACACATGAAGCGGCGCTGGTGGAATTCTTAGCTCGGGCTAGCATGATCGTACCCACAGTACTTGAAACTTGAAAGGCCTTACGATATCCAGGCCACGAGCCGTGCAATGCCTCATCCAACCCCGTCCAGCACTTGTCCTCCTGCATCCACCACCCACGCGCCCTCACAGCAGCCCTCGTCGCCGACCAGCCTGCCCTTTGTGCCCGACGAGCTGTGCGTGAAGAACAGTGCCCGTGAAGATTCGCTTTCGCCACGTGAACACCCGCGAACCAAGCACGACAGCCTTACCACAGAAGACTCGGCGAGCCGATCTGCCGGCGTCATAACCAGCGTCCACCTAAATCGTCCCGGCCCATCACCCGCCGCTGCTGTTGCTGCTGCTGCTGCTGCCTCTCAGCGCCAAACCTCTCAGCATCTTCGCTTGACTTCGCTGGGCCGTATCGCTCCTGCTCGCGAGTCTCTCGAGTCGCCCACACGCTCTTCGTCCCGCCTGTCGCAGGAGTCGTTGTCTTCGCTCGACTATCACCCCCGTCGCCCCGGCCTCGACGACAAGCGAATCTCGCTAAATACCTTCCTCTCGGCCACCACTCCTCCCTGGTCTGCAGAAGAAATCAACGCCAGACAAAAGATGCATCAAACTTCGTCCCGTCTGCTGCGTCAGACCGACGATGACCGTCCGTTCACCAGAGTAAGTCTGCTTGCCGCCATCGTCTCGACAAACCCCCACTCACGCTGCGCTTGTGTANNGGATCTGAAGGATCTCTTCTCGACATTGATGGTCAGCCTGCCTCTAACACCCCACCGTGTCCGCTTCACCAAGGTCGAGCACACCTTCACCACCGACGAAGCTCTGACCAACCTTGGGTCGCTCAAATTCTCCCAATCCAACCGCATGCCCGACCCAAAAGANCCCTCTAGGATCGTCACCACAACAACCACGACAACCTTTTCCATGGCCAAGGAGATGGCCCGCACCGTCTGCAACCGATTTTCAGAAGCAAGGTTTGTCGAATCATTGGATGGCAAGACCGACTTTAGCTCGAGGAGTTCTGTGTGGCAATTGACCCCCAAGGGTATGCGTGTTCTCACTCGCTTCTGCCAGCGCAACGGCATCCATCAACGCCATGTCAACGAGCTCTTGGACTCGCCCCGCAACACCATGCAACTCGTCATCCTCGAACGTGTCCCAGAGAACGATAACATCAACATTGATCGCGGCACTATTGAGGTTGTTTTCAGACGATTCTGTGGCGAGGAAGGTCCTAACCTCAAGAGCACTGCCACGGCCGACTCCGAGTCGTTACACGATTACGCAACCGGTCTGGTCGGTGTGCACATGATGAGATCCCGCAAGCAGTTTGAAAAAGACACNCCCTACATGTTCACTGGCAAGTCAGCTCTTGATTGGCTCATGGACTGCTGCATGGTCGTCAACAGAAAGGAGGCCTGCGACATTGCCCAGCAATTCATGGTGCACCAACTGATTGTCAATTTGACCGAAGAGCGCAACACGCCTGCTGCCTCCCGCTTCCAGCCCCTCAAAACAGCGCATTATGGCGTTACTGACAAGGGAATGAGAATCGCTGGCTGGGTCAGAAGCCCCAACGGATCTATCAACGGTGAAGCTGTGATCGTCAAGCTGCCTGCTGGAGTTGCTCGTGATTCCAACACCACCAGAATGTCGCAAATCATCCACGATCCCGCACAGCGTCTGGTCTTCCGCGAGTTTCTGCAGGAAACCCACTGCGAAGAGAACCTCACATTCTATCTCGAAGTCAGAAGCTTTTTGCTAGATTACAACTCTGCCAAGCGCTCAGTGCCTGCCCCTCGTCTGGATCTCATCCGCGAAACCCTGGCTTCGGCTTACAGTAAGCTCATCTCACTGGTATCTTGTTTCCAGACAAAAACTAACCTCTTGTTCAGGNNCTTGTACAATGCTTTCCTTGCTCCCGGTTCGCCGTGTGAGCTCAACATTGACCACAACTTGCGTAATGCTCTTGCTAGCCGCATGACCCGTGCTGTAGGAGAGGACACCGAGATGATTGCCAGCTTGGACGAGGTTGCCACTTTGTTTGATCAGGCTCAGACCAGCGTCTTCAAGCTCATGGCCAGTGTAAGTCATACTGTACTTGGTCTTGAAAGTATTCAATGCTAACAGTCAACCAGNGATTCCGTTCCCAAGTTCAGCAGAGATCCCAAGTACATCAGAATGCTTGAGAATCGTACAAACTACGACCAGATGAACGCAGCTTTCTCAGCCGCATCGGTATCATAAAAGAGGCTTGCTGGCATCGCCAATACTTAATAATTCCTATCTCGCCAACTTCAATACCCATTCCCTTGGCAATCTCGGTCACACCAAGAAGCGGTCGTCTCCGAAGCTGGGACATGGCAGACGACGTAATCAACTCGTCGTACACACACACACACACGACGCAATCCATGCCTCAATGTATCTTTCAGTCACGCCGCACACAGTGAGGCGTGTCAGTTTTGGATACGATTTTCCGAAGATAAATCTGGATAATCTTATCAACAGATACCACGCTAGACATGCCTCATGTGGCCACTTCAAAACTGTGGGTGTTAAGCCCTCGCTGTATTTATTTCTGGTCTTTCCATTCGGATGAAGGCATCACAGGCGTCCCAGGGTGCATAGCAGATCGGCGTTCCTCCTACTTTTGTTTTTGGAAACATCATTGCACGAGGAAAACGACAAGTAATTTGATGTTGCTTTTTTTCTTTCTCGTTCAGATGGCTCTTTCACTATCTTCTTTGTCCTTTTCAATTTTTCTATTTCATCTGCTATTCTTGCATTCAGCACATTAGTGGCAGCAAAGCAGCGGGCGGCACTTTGACGACTAAGCGAATGCACGGAGGTCACGTCTGGAAGAAGGTCATGGATGAAGCTGCGCAACGGCACGGACTGTAGAAGTAGTAACAATAGCTGACGCCATTACATGATACGTCTATCAGGACTGCTTATCTCTCAATTCTTTGCTTGTACCAGGCTCGAGTCTAGATATTTGACATTGAGACGAACAGATTGAGACATGGACAATGTGGACTGAGCGGCTAGACGGTAAAGAGGGCGACCAAGGTTCAATTAGATTGCCGTGTGGCTTCATGAGATGGCTCCGCCGAGCGCGTGTTTCTAACCAACGCCAACGCGTCTTCCCTAGTGAATCATTTGACAACATTATCGAAACACACAGACCTGATTTTCTTTTATAGAAGGAACGAACACGTTAGTGGCATCTTCAATTGCTTCTATAAGATATCGCTTGGCATAGCACAAGTCATGGGCGTCCCGCCAGGTGTAGGTCTAGGAACTTAACGAATGTTTACACCAGACATTTTCCTCTAACGCGTTTCACAGTCGCAGGCAGCTCCACTTCCGAGCAATCTGCCCTTTCGACTCGTCTCCAAGACGATTGGGTCCGGCGCATATGCATCGTGCGTATTGAACCCTTCTACAATGTGGTCACACATGTTGTGGATACTAGACGTCGCTGACAATCAATTGGCAATAGAATCCGCAAGGCAGTGCCTAAGGACAAGCCGAAACCCGTCATTGCCGTCAAGTTCATCAACAAAGAGCATGCCTTCAAGGTAGGTAGGTTACGGCCCAAGCAGATCGAGCTCGAGATCAGTCTGCATCGCCAGGTGTCGGGTCACGCCAACATTATCCGCTTCCTGTCGCACGGCGACGACCAATCATGGATCTGGATCGCCATGGAGCTGGCCGAGGGTGGCGACCTGTTTGACAAGATCGAGGCCGACGAGGGTGTAGGAGAGGACATTGCTCACTTCTACTTCAAGCAGCTCGTCAATGCCATCGCCTGGTGTCATGGCAAGGGCGTTTCGCATAGAGACATCAAGCCCGAGAACATGCTGCTGACGGCCAATGGCGACCTGAAGCTGGCCGACTTTGGTCTTGCCACAGCCTTCCTCAACCCCAAGACTGGAGACTCGAAAATGTGCGGTCTGGTCTGTGGCAGTCCACCCTACATTGCCCCCGAGATTATCCAGGTTGGCCACGCAAACCAAAAAGAGAAAAGCACGGCGAGGACAAGTTTGGGTACTGTCCCAACATCTCGGACATCTGGAGCTGCGCCATCGTGCTGTTTGTATTGTTGGTCGGCAACACTCCTTGGGACCAGCCCGAGCCACGGAAGAGCGAGGAGTTCTACCATTTTTGTGAGACACAAGGTCGGCCTGAAGACGAGCTGTGGGAGAAGATACCATCCGAAGCATTGAGTCTGCTGAGAGGCATGCTCAAGGTCGACGTACTCGAACGGTTCAAGCTGGACGACATCCGCATCCATTCATGGTACACGCGTCCGAACAAGTTCATGAACTCAAAGGGCACCGTCTCCGACTCGGTCAGTTTGGCTACCAACATGATCGAGCGCCTGCACATCGACTTTACCACGGTACCCGATTCGTCACCGAGCCAGGAGCCACCCAAACAAGTCGAATCGCAGCCCGCACCCGCCCTCATGTCCACACAACCCATCACTCCAGCCTTTGACCAACCCTTCGACTGGGAAGCTCCACCCCGTCTGGCAGGTCTCACAGCCTCCCAGCCCGTAACAGCACACGATGCATCTCGTGTCGCCATGACTCACGACCTCATCGCCGCTCAACTCTCGCAAGAACCGCACATGACCCAGTTCAGCCAAAGCCACAACGTACCCCTATCCCTAACACAAAACGCCCGCCGCTTCCGCGACATTGTCCCCGCACAGTCCCTTGCGCGCTTCTACTCTTACCAAGCCTTGCCTCAGTTACTGGGCACCGTACGCAGTGCCTTGCACACACTCAATGTACCCATACACGCCGCCACTGCCGCCGACGACAAGGCGAAACAGGCCTACATACGTATCCGCATGAGTGATGGCCGCAAGCAGGGGCTCAGCGGCAACGTCGTGCTCGAGTCTATTGCCGAGGATGGGCTTGTCGAGGTCAGATTCGTCAAGGCAAAGGGCGACCCGCTCGAATGGCGCAGATTGTTCAAGCGAGTCGCTGTGCTGTGTCGTGATGCGATCCTCATGCCTAGAGAGTAAGAGCATCCTCAGTCGCTGCAGCACCCTTGGACGAATCCTTCTTGTGGCTCTTTTGGCCCCCCTTTCGATACCCTTCTTTCCGCACTTCATTGCGGATGTCTTGCCAGGCTTTTCTGTCGGCTACCTTTCTATTTGAATTTCTTTCTCTTCTTTGTCCTCGGAGACTTTTCTTCGATGGCATCTTTTGGTTCTTCTCTTTCCTTCTACCAATTATCACGCTGTTCCACTGGAAGAGTTCATGAGCTCACTATTTGATTTCGCATTCTCTTTCGGAGAGTGCCCATGTAAGGGGCTATTGACGGGTTGTGGGTCTATGGTGGGTTTGGAAGGAGCAGGAGGAGCAGGGGAAATTGGAACGGAGAAAAAACAGTATTATACCCAATGTTCAATGTTTGGAGTCTTTTCTACTCTGTCTTGATCCATATCTGTTCATTGGCCCTGTTTGATGGCTGTGAATACGTGCTACAATAAAGACGCAGAGAACGTGTCGATCTTTCACGCAGAGCAAACTAGACCGGAGAAGACAATGATATCGTGGATGGAATTTCGATGATGCGAAAGAGATTCCAAGTGAAGGGCGTAGGATGATAATGCAGCAGTGAAAGTGGAGGCACATCTCGTGGGATCAGGATACATCAAGCATATTAAGCAGAAGGTAGATCAGGAATTTCAATGTGCATTACTTTTAGTTGATTGGTTATAGTCACTAGGATGTGATATAAGCTATATAGGTAGTGCCAGAGACACAAGGTGTGGATATCAAAAACAGAAATTCAGTGTTCAAAAGGAGGGTATGTAAAGACAAAAAGTTGGGAACAATAATACCAATCGCTTGCTCGCTTCGCTTTCATTACAAAAGACAAGACCAAAGAAAAAAGTCGTCTTGAAAAGGATAGGAAGAAAGGGACCCAGGAAACACCCATTCATGCATTTTGAAGGAACCTGAAGGATCAACACAAGCCCATTAGAAATTGGATGCCGTGTTGATCTGGCCACCACCACCCTGGTAGCGGGCTAGCGGAGGCTCATCCTTCTCAGTCATGAGGCTTTCGTGTGGCTGAGGACCAGTGTAATCGTCGTCGTCCATTCTGGGGCCATTTGCACGGCGGCGTCCCCACATGCGCCAGGCAACGAGAGCAAGACCACCGAGCAGAATGGCACCGCCAATACCTCCAACAACGCCTCCGATGATCTTCTTGCTAGAAGGAGTAAGACCACCTCCACTGCTACCGCTGCTGCCGTTGTCGTTCAGCGAAGGTGAGATGGTTGCAGTTGCGTAGCCAGTGGTGGACGCAACAACCTCCTCGGTAGGGACAGCAGTGGTAAGAGTGCTGCCGCCAGTGACTGTAACAATAGTAGTTGTGTAGCGGCGAGTCGACGAGGAAACCAGTGCAGAGGTGATGGTGGTAGCCTTGCTCACGGTCGAACGGTTGATGGTCGTGGCCGCGGTTCCAGAACCGATGACGACAATCTCAGAGGACGTTGTCTTAGACGACTTGGTAGACGATGTCTTTGTGCCCGAAGCAGAGGATTCACCGGATGAGGCAGCGGAAGAGCCCGAAGAGGTACCTTTAGATGAAGCAGCAGCTGTCTGGCTAGCAGAGGAGCCTGCAGCAGACGACGAGGGGGCTGCAGAGCTAGTGCTCTCGGCAACAGGCGAGGTGGCAGACGAGGTTGGGGCTTCTGATGAGGTGGCGGATTCGCTGGTAGGAGCGGCTTGTGAAGACGTGGTAGGGGCCTGGCTAGTAGTAGGGGCCTCCGAGGATGTAGGGATAGTTGATGTCAAAGGTTGTTCACTGGTAGAGGTGGGTGGGTTCGAGGAAGTCGTGGGCTCTGCCGATGATGTCGTGGGGCGACCGACGACGTGGACACGACGGAGGAAGAGGTCGGCGCGGCGGACGAGGTGCTGCCGCCTGTACCAACCAGAGAGTTCTGACGCTTCAGCATCCATGGTAAGCTGTTGGCGTTTACTGTCGAGAAGACCATGATGAGAGCGAACAGGAGAGCGATAAGGCTCGGTGATGAGCGCGCCATTGTATGCGACATGCAGAAAAGTCGCTAGCTGCAGGGTATAGGAGCTGGCGATGGAGCAAACGAGAAATCTCTATCCAAATGACTGCCTGAAGTCAGGCGGCGGTACGATGCTAATGTCGCGGATCGCAAGGGCCGTTGAGGAGTCTGGCAACGGTCGTGTGCTGAGGCTAGATATATGAAGTGATAAGGGGTGGGTCTGTACAAGATGCGATGCGAAACACGTCCAAGCGATGTAAACGAGTGGAAGAAAGCAAGAGGTCGGAGAATGCAGCAAGGAGAAAAATCAAGAGAGTATGTACGGTGCGCGCGGAAGGTACATGCAAGTGGGTTGGNNGGAAGCGACGATGATGTTCGACGGNGCCACAGACTTTGTCACCAGGAGGAAGCCAAGCNNCGCGCAGCTTCGTGTGAGAAAGGCTAATGTTAGAACACCACATGGAGCTGTCCCTCATCCAGCTAGCCTCCGTCTCGGAACCCTAGTTGGGCGTAGGATCCTCCATCGGCCTCACCTGTCGATCTGGTGTTACGCAAGCCCTCGCCATGTCATTTCGGCCAGACACAAAAGCGAGCTTGGTTCACGCTGGGAGGAACCTTTGCTGCGCTTCAAGTCGTCCAATATTGCTCGGAAAGAACGCTTGGCTGCACCGCTGTTTGTCCTGTCAAGCAGAAGAACGAGCGTCTTTTAGTGCACCACTTCCCCCACGCGCGGAACATTTTCCTGCGGCAGGGCCCTGGAGGTCCACTTGGTTCGTCGTTCCAAACCCTGCGCGTCAACACGACCCTCGACACGCCTCGCGCCCCGAGGGCCTTCGTCTGCTTGCATTCAAAACATCGACTCGTCTCAAGTCTCGAATCTGTGTGATTGACGGTTTGATGCTCCTTTCGCATTTGCTCAATTAGACTATTCGTACATATCTCATTCAAGTCGTCTCATGGGTATAGCGTCGTCAACTGATCCTCAAGGCCTCCTAATAAGCACGCGTATAATGCGATCCTTTGCCATCTGTTCCATTCATTCTACGAGTTCCTGCTCCCTGCAACGCATTGTCAGCGATCCCACACTTTCTAACTGCATCAGTTCGAACTCACCTTCACGCCGGGCTTGCCTGTAACAGTACCCTTGAGGTTCATCATAGCACCGCTGACTTTGTCGCCGACCGTTGGCTTGCGCTTCTGCACTCTGGTGGTTCCAGTCGTGGTACGGTGGCCTGTCGTGTGCCTCGTGCTTGATCCGACTCCTCTACTAGTAGTGGCTGCAGGACCAGTATGATGACCGGTGTGGTGACCAGTGCCAACCTCCTTCTTGGTTGTCGTTGTCGTGTGACTTCCAGTGATTGGGTTGGTGGAGTGCTTCGTCGTGGTAGTGACGGTGCGGTTGTTGCCCTTCAAACGACCCAAGAGAGAAGGCTTGCTGGCTGTTGTGGTGTTGTTTGCTGATCTTGTGAAAGCCATTATGGGAGGATGCTTAGAAAGTCGTTGATTGATAGTGTAAATGAGGTATTATAGGTGGTTTTGAATCTGTATGAGTTGGCTCTAGAAAAGCAGTCGCGAACGCACTTCATATATGCGATTGATTCACCCCTTAGAGACGACGGGCCAGCCACATGACAGTATTAGGCATATACAAACTGGATTTTGATGGTATAGCAATCCATGCATGGTACGTCATGCTGTAGATCCGTCTTGAGGAGATATGCTTGGCTACCACAAGGGTTCATATCATAGGTCAGAGATATTGTTCTGGCCGGTATAAAAGTTGGCATAAACTTGGATATTGTCCGTCGCTTGGGAGATCCGACGTCACCTATCTGCCATGAGCGCTTAGAGATACGCGCTTGCGAAGAGTCTGAACTATCGTCGCTGAAACCTCTCGTTTACGTGAGTGCAGTTGTTGTAATACATGGCGTCTGAATCTTAGGTAGAATTGGTGAAGGGGGAAGGTATGTTGGGTGTCAATAGAGTTTGGTGATGGTTCAGTTCAACGTATGTCACCTCAGCGTTCTCAACCGTCGAGCTTGAGACGTCCGTCAACCCTGTGCAACAGCTTCACATCTATCTTCGCAGTCACATGTCAAAAATTGAATCTGTTCGTGCTATCGAGCAAGGCGATAGATTTGACAACAAAAATGAACACCTCGCCACTGTCCCGCTTGCCGCTTGAACTCCATGAACAAATCTTTGACTACACCATGGCCACAAACGTCCAGCACATCAACGACTGCGGTAGGGAGTATAATTCTGGCGTGCTTACAAAATCGATGATGACGGAACTTACTCGCCGTCATGCATTTATGGCTACCTGCCGCGAGCTTCAAGGTCTGGGTCTACGTCTCTGTCTGCGGCTTACAGAGTTCATCTGGGACTGTTCTTCAGAGCAAACATCACGGAATATAATGAAGGCGATTGATACGCGGGTTTGGGACGGTGGAGCGATATTCCACACTTTACCAGATTTACAGACTCAAGGCTGTGTCAGCAGTATCCGTGGTGCAGGCGCTGTCAGCTCAGACGATTATCTGCACCGCGAAAGCTGGAAAGTGAAGGGACCGTCTTTTGCTAAGGTATATGCGAATTGGGTCGATAAACCTCTCGAAGTCCTGATCATGTATCAAAGGGCCGCGTGTATCACCTGCCGCCTGCGCACTGAACAACACCAGAGAGAGCTTGATCATCACCAACTGTTCTATCGGCACAGCTACCGTTTACAAACCTTCACCGACGGCAATGCTGCCAGACCAATCAAGAAAGCCTTGAGAGGTACTTGGAAGCGTGACACGATAAGTTTGACTATCAACATGCTGAACGAAGCAACCTCTCTCCAACGAATGGAAGCAGTCATGTCACTGCTCGACAGCGAACACCACAAAAAGGTCCAAGCCATTAAGAAAGAAATTGAGAAGGAAGTGCAATTATACGCAGAAAACGGTGATGTTGACTTTGGCGACGTACGGCCTATGTATGAGCAGTTCGTCCACGATATGAACCTCAAATACTCTCTGTGGAGGCAGCGAGTGAAAAAATTCCACGAAGGATTGATCAAAGTGATCATGCTGAGTTACCGAGCGGACTATCATGCGCTCGCGGACGCCTTGTTTGAGATGCGGCACGACTTCGAGCAGATGTTACCTCATGAATACACTGGCGACCAGGTCGTCAACTCCGTCGTGGAACTAGTAAGGGCAACCACACTTCAGAAGATGGAGCCAAGGTACCGTATCGAATCGGACCTATGGCTCGACTCACGCAACTCGTGAATCGTTGTGAGCACATCACATTCACCAATCTCGATATCTCGCAAGCCCATCCCCCATCCTTTAGTTGCCGTCCAGTACAAACGCCCATATTGCTTGTGATTTAGCTCTCCGTCTCTCAAATCATTGCCGACACATCACAACTGGTTGTACGAGACATAGACAACAAGCAGGCTTTTTCAATTAGCTTTTGCACTATAGTATCACCAAACCGGCTATATGCAAGCGAGGACGTCCAGCAAGTCTTCTCAGGCACTTTCTCTACAGTGACAACAACTCTGGTTAATCGTCTGCGTGAGAGCTCATTCCAGATGAGCGACGAGGATCTGGATACTATGCTTTCTCCTAAATGGTATTATGATGCGATTATTGACACCGTGGTACGTGTTATACTGGACGCCAACCCCGATCGCGGTACCTGCTACCAGCAATGCGCCTTATTCCCAGTCTTTGTCTGCCAATCTGATTATACTGAGAGTCCGAGAGTCCCTCGATATATTCTTGAAGCAGCCGAAAAAGCTTTTACCCGACTTGGAGACATCCAGACTCTAACTGGGATCCTATACTCTTCCAAAACGTAGAGGTAACTTACCATAATGTGATTCAGCAATACAGCTCACACGACTGTGGCTCAGCTGTGCTCACTACTATTGTCCACCTGTGAGCCTCTGGAACGTGGTGTTCTTGGAAACTCGCTTCATCTCGCCCATCTCGAAATCCTGCTGGGGTCTCTTGTAGGTCCGGGACATGTCAAGTTAGGCCCCGAGCAAGACATATGCAAGGCCCCGTATCTTTAGTCCGGAATCCAGGTTAGATGGCAGACCCTCTTGTTGCCGAACTATGTGCTAAGAATACCAACAACCTTTGCGACTTAGATAGCGCACATTTAGGCCTGCAGTTACTATATAGATCCTGGACAAGCCGTGCAAGGAACACACAAGTCACCAGACCTTACCATCACTCTCAATGGTCGTCTCGACCCTCTTCATGGTAATAGATCATTGGACCCCTCTGACTTGATTGACATGGTCTATCTACAATACTCGCCATGCTTCCAAACAAAAGTATACACATAAACCCTAATTCAGGAAGAGTGGATAACACAGATATAAAAGCAACCGCCCTTCATGGAATCAGGTCGTTAGAGCCACTCACTACCGAGTATCTTCAAGACATCTCTGCATCAACCCTTAATGATTACTGCCTTGTGATTGTGGTTGAGAGGTATAGTTCCTAGAGCGGTCTAGCTTCCAAGGTTCTCCATAAGGTCTGTGCTAGGCTCATGTCTTCTTGGGCAGCTTCTTTTCAGCACGGCCACGCGCATATTCCGCAATCATCAGATCCGCTTGACATCCATGGTCTGTCGTGGTGGCATCATATGTTCTACTAGTCCGCTAGAGTGCCATACCTCTAAGACAACGCCAACGTAATCGACCTAGGTTTGCGGTGCAAATGGCTTGCTGCCTCCGTTCAGTAAAACCAGCGCGCGAAGGTCGTCGTTGTCATCGGCAGCATGGATGTAGCAACTTCAACCCCTCTTACTTGGTATGCACTTCGAAATGAATTTCTCACAATCAATTCCCATTTATTCTATTCTTCTCTCCTAGGCAGACTCTGGCTGCCGTCACATAAGCTAAAGGCTCTAGCATAGAGAACCTATATCATCTCCGACATCAAGTCTGTATACACGCCGAGAGATTTGACAATCAAGCACGCCTTAGGGATCTGCGTAGCACTAGGTTTGCCGCAGTCATTGCGTACCAAGGCCATGACAAAGACATCAAGTGTACCTAGGCCGGAAAACACGAAACCGACCTTCTCTAGGTAATCCTATACAACAAAGGCGTACTGGATCCGGAGACGCCTTTTATGCAGACATCCGGAGCATGGGCAATCGTCGTCCTTATCCCAACCGACCGACCTGACTGCCTGTTGTGGGGCGCGGTCACCTCGGGCGAGGGTTCCAACGCTACCGTGGTACAGCCATATGATACTGACACCGTCTCCGTGCCACGCAGTTGAAGGGCTGTGGTCCACCGCATCAAAAACACAACTTGAAGATCTCGACTTCGCCAGTGCTGGCTTGACCTCTCCTGTCGCCGATCAACTTCCCTGGTCAGCCTCGTTCAAGGGCACCACAGTCCATGGCCGTGTCTAACGAGGAGGCTTGAAATTGGAAGCTCCTCATTAGTATCCACGACCCTGAGAGAATAGTCTGTCGCAACACTGTAGCAAGCACGCGATATAGGCGTAGCGCTTGGGATATGGCGGCGGCGAAGCTGGATGGATTGCCGGCCTGGAGAACTTTTCACTACAGAGATCAAGTCTGCTGATAGTCGCCATGTCTGACGGCTCGTCTTCGATAGTGGCGGGAGGCGGCTTCGTGGCGCAAGTCTTGCTCGACGTTTGCATTGGTGTTTTGCAACTTCGCGTGAGCATCAAACCAAGTGGAAGTCCACCTTCGTCACTTGCTTGAAGTAATAGGACCACGAGCTCGTCGACAGTCTTCTGTTCATATCAACCTATGACGGTTTGCCATCCATTCTCGTGCATGACATCAAGCCAGAAGACACTATCATCGCCCAGGTCAAAACGTCTCCAAACCTCTTTGACAAGCTTGATGATCATGACTATAGGCTTCGAAGGTACTCGTGCGGATAGCTCTTCCAGTCTCGTCATCGCAAGATCTCTTGCACGTAGAGCGTGCAGCGACAACGCTGCCACATGCCCAGACAAGCGAAGCTCAGCGGCTGCTGTCAGTATGATAAGCAGCTGAAGTGGTCGTGTGTTAGAAGTTGGTGGAATGCTGCCAATCAAGTCCAGCAAAATATGACATGCTAGTGATGTTAACCACATCGTCGGATCATGTGAATCATGATACAGAAGTGTTCCGCAGAAAGGGAAGAAGAATTGACTCGAGGGGCCAGTGATGTCAACGTTCTTGAGCAGTCGATTGTGTAAGATGTTGGGAAAGACTCGGTAGATCTCCAATAGGGCGCAGCAACGAGTAGATTCTGCGACCATGATAAAATCAAGCTTGCTTGTAAATTGATCCTGCACATCAACAAGGTCTTCAACGGCTGGCCAGCGGATGTTAAGCAATTCTTCTTCGAATTCCATGGCTGCGGTGATGATCCTAGTGGGATCGACATGCTCACTGGTCGCTCCATAGGAGAGTGGTGACGATATGGCTCGATAATTCCGAACGAGTCGGCCAACCTCAGCAAAGAGGACTTGTGCTCTGGGCCCTACGCCAGTCCAAGGGTGCGGCATGACCTTCGTTCCTATCGTCCGGGCCTCGTTGTAATCTGTCTTATCCCTAGGCTTCTCGCGGCCCAGTGTGAAAGGCTCTTTATGCACAAAGGCAACACACATCTCCCAATATATGAGGGCCTCTGCGAAGAACTGGTCGTTTCGTGCCATCTCGTCTGTTTGGGTTCCTTCCTCGCGGAACAATCTAGGATATATCAGTCCCCTTGCGGCATTCAAGTGCGCCATCCCTAGATCACCAGCTTCGTGCCAGGGCGAGCTCATGCCCAACAGCAGTACTGTGAGCAGAAGTCTATCGTCTACTTGTTGATTGACGTGTGCGAGTTGTAGCTCATGTTGCAAGCATTCGTATGCTTTCCGTTGCATCTGCAATCCCTGCACTTCCATTCCCGGGTTATGGTTGGCCAAGTGTGCGGCTGCCATGCTCTGAATAGCGTAAAAGATTGAGTTTGAACTATCCCATAGCTTCCCTATGACAGTGCGGAACGGGTTCAGCTTCGAATCGAACGATGAGTACAGAACGCAGATATCGCGGAAGTAGTGCACCACCAGGCCTGTGCTGTCATTTTGGAGAGATCGCGATATGGTGGGAGTGGCCATGCGATAGTAAGCTCGAAGCAGCGATTTCCACTGGGTCGTTTCCTCCGAGCTATTGCTTCGTTGTGGTCTTGATGTTTGGGTTCCGTCACTGACTGCTCTGCTTTCGTCGATCCGGTGTGCTGATATGTCCGGACTATACGACACCATGGTTCGTTGATGGTTTGTATCCGGATAGCTTGGCCATTGCTGAGGCCAATCGCAAGAAGGTCTGTGTGCTCCTAGTCCCACAACATTCTGAGAGTGCGGGAGGTATGTCGTTGCTGGGGAACGGACTATCTCTTCAGAGACATCAGGGTATCCATCCGCACCTCCAGCTGTCTCTTCAGTGGAGATATTGGACGCTTGGCCAAAGGTCACTGGATCGATGGAGGAAAAATGATACTCGACAGAAGGATGAAATGTCTTTTGGCCGTCGGGTTCGTCGGGCTGTAAGACTTCGTACTTTGTCGACCACTTGAGAGCCTTTCTGTATCCAGGACAATCATAACCGCGCTTGGTGCAGTTGTCACAGGCCTTGCACGATCGAGTGTTAGTCAATATTGTCGTGTTGATCAACTCAATACCGCTCACAACCACCAATCACCAGGCCACCTCCTCGCGGCCAGTGTCTGAACAAGAGATGTGTGGATTATAGTGAGTCGAGTTGCAGGCTGTTTTGATAAGAACTTACCGGTCGTGTTTCATCGCATTTCAACTGTCATCTACGGGTTAGTCAATTCAAAAAGGAGAAGAGCAAGAGGCATGTGACATGATCATGCGCTCCCATAACACTCACTCTCTTGATCTTACAGACTTGACAGCCGTTGCGGCTCTTTGCTGTTCTCCTAGGGTTCTTCTCCACGCCTCCAGATCCGGAGGCAGTGGCCGATGTCGGTTGCGACTGTGGCATACGCGGCGGCCTGATAATGACACTCAGTTGCGAGTTCGAGGTGTGGAGGAGTGTCGGAATTTATCAGCTTACGTGAAGCAAATCAAGAACTGGCTTGCCCAGTACTTCCCCAAGTTGACTCGAGAGGCATGTTCAAGCAGTGATCGTTACAAGGCGGGCGAGGTCCAGGTTTATGGGGGCCTCCGGGGCTCTTGAGCGTCGGAAGTTTCGAGAGTCGAGGCTTGCTTTCGGCCCGCTGTCGGTAGCAGACAGCCGGTGGTGGGGGATCAGAAGGATTCGTACTTGTACCAAGTACTAACGGCGACCAGTTTTATCGGCTACTGCGAGCTGAGTTGTCGATACAGAATCGAAGGTTGTTGTTCATTGCTCTGGTCCTTATGATAAAAGTCGTGACTGAATGACTCGATGCTCAGATATCTCCACATGCCTTTTCCAAGCCATGACGACTTCCTCGTCTGGCACGAAAGACATTACGTCAGCGTGTGCAGGGTACTAGTACTTCCATGATTCTTTCCTTGGACGCACTACGAATGTCACTGTGGGATCCAACGTCGCGGGATGGACACGCAAACGAAACTAGAACTTCGAAAGCTATTCAAAATCCCATGCACAGAACAAAACTTGAAAGCTGAAGATGATAAGACTGGCTGGGTTTCTTTTTCGATACAGTGCAAAATCTACTCCTCAATGGTCTTGACGCAATCCCATCCACCCTTGAGGCTTTCCTTCCACAGGCTGACTCTGTTGTCACCACCACTAACAGCCAGGACATTGCCACTGAGACTCCAGCTGACGCGCCAGACGACAGCATCGAACTTGAGCTCTGTGCTCTGCCAGCTTGACGAGTTGGCCGGGTCAGCGTTAGCCTGACATGTCCAAATGCGCACAGTTCTGTCTTGCGAGGCCGAGGCGATGTATGACTTTGAGAGGGGGCNTGGTGACCATGCAACATCGCGCACCCAGTCAGAGTGACCGGCAAGGGTGCACATGTTGTTGTATGATTGTGTCTGAGGGTTGAAGTCCCAAAGCTTGACCAAGTTATCGCTACCGCCCGTGACGAAGCGGCGCAGAGGTTGTGCTTGCGATTGAGGCGTCTGGGCAGCAGCGAGCTGTGCGGGAAGAAGTGATGGACTCCACGAGACGGCGTTGACGCCCATAGCGTGTGCTGGGAAGATGGAGTGCGAGAAGGAGTTGTCGCTGAAGGTGATGACCGAGACGGAGCCGTCGGACGAGGCACAAGCCAGGTGGCAGCCGGGCTCTGGCGGTGACCAGGCAATCAGATTGACGCTGGCGGTGTGGAGAGTAAAGTCGTAGATGCGCTGCCATTGGTTGTTTTGTTCGCGCCAGACAAAGATCTTGCCGTCGTAGGATGAAGAAGCGAGGATGGTGCCGTACTTGGGGTGTGCNNCTGGACGAGTGAATGGTCAACGAGCGAAGACGAAGCACGGAGGGAGAAGACGACATACCCATGATACACACCAAACAGCGCCGTCATGTCTGCAGAAAGAGGTCAGATGGGCGACAGGAGCTCGCTGTCAACCGACACATACCCNCTTGAGTGTGTCTACCAAGCGGTGTGAGTCTCCCTCAACCTCAAAGATCTTGATGGTCTTGTCGGATGAGCAGGTGGCCAAGCGACGTCCATAGTAGTCGAGAACAGCATCGTGNNCTGGTAGAAGGTCAATAAAAGCAAGCTTGAGCCAGGGCGCATAAGGGGAGCATACGATCATGTCATCGTGGCCGGAATTTGAGATGACTTGAGCCTGTCACGTACATTGTCAGCATGGTCGCCTTGGGTTCGATGATGGATCAGGAGAGCAAAAGTACCATGTTTGGCGGTGTAGTGTGGGAAATGTGATGATATATTATTATGATCGGGTTGCGGTATTGCCAGCTATGCGCCCACTCTCCGCCGAGTTGGGGAAGGAGCGGACGGTCTGCCAAGCCCCGTGTTCCGCTCCGACAGAAGGCCGCTACTTCCGTCTATCGGCTTATCGCCGAGGCCGATTCCACCTCGGTTGCCGCACGCGCCCAGGACGATTTGCATGTGCATGTGCACCTGCAGGTGCTTCCTGTCTCGAGTCTCGACCATCATGGCATCGTCGACATAGCTGTCATCCGCGTTGTTCATCTAGTTCGCAATCATGGCGGATGCTCTCTGCGGACCCTCGAATGCGGTTCAGAACCTGGCCAAACATTCGTCGGTTGACCGGACTCTGCAGCAAGACCGCCTGGTGTCACGACAGTCGCCTNNGACCAAGTAGCTTGAACCTCCTCCTAGACCTCCCAATCACGCCTCTGACTCTTTCCAGGGCTTCCGCTCGTACAATCCGCACGTCGCATCACTAGATCCGGAATTCGAAGCCTTCCAGAATGGCCACGCCCATGGCCTTGCAGGTCCCTCGTGGGCTGCTTCTTCTCTGTCCAACTTTCGCTCGCAACCGCCGTCCTTCCAGTCAGCTTCTCCCCTTCCATCCGCTTCATGGACACAAGACTTCAATCGTTTGGCCATCTCGTCTACACAACAACCACAGCTCCAAGCAGCTCCTCAAGCCTGGCACAATCACTTTGGCCAGCATGCACAACACTCTGCTCCTCTGAACGCTGCTCCTTCTCAGACACAACCGCCATCTGCTCGATTTCAGTCTCCGCTCGCCTTCAATCATATGCACTCCGCTCCGCGCTACGCTTCTCAATCCCAACCCCTCCACCAGCAGCAGAAACAACAACAACTTCCTCAGGATCAGTTTGACGAGGCTGCCTTCGAGGCTGCTTTCGATGCCGCTCTACAGGATGCTTCCGTTGACCAAGACTCTGCCATGCAAGAACACGAACAACTTGACTCTTTCGACTTCGATTCCTTCCTTCCAGACATTTATCCACACCTTCCTCTGTTCCGGCTTGCGCTAGCCAATGCTTTGGTCACAAACACAGATGAGTCGCTGCATCGAGCCGCCAAAATCGTCGACGCTCTCATACAACATCCTCAGACTATGGATCCCATTCAAGCCATGCTCTTTCGACCCCTGTTGTCTGCTTTGAACGATCCCAAACGCACCTTGTTCTCCCAACGATATGGCTACGAACCCGCCTTGAATCAAATGCTGGATGGCCTTGCTCAACAGACTGAAAATACTCGTCTTGACATAAGTGCCTCGACTGAGCAACTGCTGGCTTCGTACGCAGACTTGCTTTGGCAGAGGACCGAGTCGAATCATTTACAACCCACAAACATCCCTCGTCCTGCTGACAACTCTTATTGGCTTGAAAACTTCTTTCGAGAGCAGGACTCGGTTTCTGCCCAAAACATTACTCAGCACTCTGCCAGTCTCTTGACGAAAGGTTTCAACCGCCAAGTTATATCGGACACACATTCCCAAGCTCTGAGTCGAGTGTTGGAATTGGAATACGAAGTTTATTCCAAGCGATCCGCCGTCTCAGCCATCTCCACTCAGCAACCAGCATCTGTTCAGGAGCGAGAGGCCATGCTGTTCAACATGATGGAACACGTTCTAGCTGCACCAGAAACTGTTGAAGCTATGGAGGCAGTGACCCCACACGCACTTCAAGATTATGAAAATCAACTACGGCTATTGGAGCAACAGAATCAGAGGCGTCACATAATGCATGAAGCAAGAGCATTGGAGCAAGAACAAGCTAGAAACCCCCTTGTGCAAACNTCCAGGAAGCTTCCTGATATGACGGGAGATTCGTTCGAGTCGACGTTTGAGGATGAATTTTCGGAAGACGTAATGAGCGAGCAGGCAGAGCAGCATCTGGAAGAACAGAAAGAGCTAGATCGGCAAAATGATGACGAGTTGGCACAGACTGCGGCCAATCTACTCGAGCGGGTGTCTGATAACCAGACTTTAAAGTTTAAGAACAGTGCCTTCTTGGGATTAATGAGACAGCTCGCAGATCGAGAGATCAGGGTCGAAGGAGATAAGATGGTCCCTGTGAGTACAGCTAAGCTGCACCAAGCCAGTCAATATGTTCTCGTTAAAAAATTGCTAACATGCCTCCATCAGACCAACACGAGTAATGCTCTCGGTAACGATCATTCTGCTGCGATGGTAGACCGGGATGGACAGGAAGTTGTGACTCTTCTTAGCCAGTCTGGCACCATGATGGATCAAGGTAAGCATCAGGTTTTTCTCACGACCGTTCAGAAGTATGACCTGACTCTCCCTCAAGATCCTGAATTCCTGATGACAAGCCCCTTTGCATCTGCCGATGACTACTAAATAATACCCTGACGATCCAATGACCTTTGACACGCAAAGTATACTGAAAACATGTTCGATATAGGTCGCAGAACCAATGCACCTTCGTACAGCGCCGGGTGTTTCTTCAAGAAAGACATGCAATTTGAAGGACTCGCGTGAATTATCATTGGAGACATGACATTCTCTAGAGCTCGAGTGACGTCTCTTCGTCTTTTGGGAGCCGTAAATTTGTGGCTCTCTCTAGGCTTCATTTTGATCCGAGGTAGACTGTGTATCCACAGCAGCATACGGGACGACAACGTGGTGGTGGAGCTTCAGAGCTCGGCCTCGAAACACCCGAAGACCGAGGTTTCTTGTTCTACCGACCTTCGAGTTTGGTGACAGCTTTTTATATATACTGTGGTTTTGCGAGCTCTATAAGCTCATCGAACATTCAGACCAATCTATTTTGGACATACAACTAGTAAAAGATGTTTTGGGGCATGAAAGTTCAGGGTGTCATGAATACATCGCGGTAGTTCTCCGCACTCCAGTCTACTTCATATCAACCGGCGCGAGGGCGGTATCGGGCCGCGAGCTGAGCAGCCATAATTAACCACGCATCCTTAACTACTTCACTTCACCTCATAAACACACGTCTCACAACAGTACAATCATGTCAAAGCCCAAGGTTCTCCAGCTCGGCGAGATCGTTCTGTTCGTTCTCGCACACTCCCGTGTCATCCTCTCGCACTACTAACATCAGCTCAGTGCTCACGACAAATGGGAGCAATTGACCGATGTTGCAGAGATTGTGACTCCCAAAGCCACAAACAGAGAAGAGTTCATTGCCGAGTGCAAGAGTGGACGATTCGATGATGTGATTGCGGCATACAGAACGTTTCCCTCGGTCAGCATTACGGGTATTTTTGACGAGGAACTGGTGCAAGCTATTCCCAAAAGCTGGCGCTTTCTCGCACACAATGGCGCTGGGTATGATCAAGTAGACGCGCACGCCTGTGCTGCTAGAGACCCTCCACTTTTGGTCTCCAACATTCCTACCATTGCCGACGACAGCACTGCTGATACGGCTGTGTTTCTCATCCTCGGTGCTCTCCGCAATCTCAATCCTTCCATGCAGGCCTTGCGTGAAGGAAAGTGGAAGGGTTCGCCTCCGCCTGCTCTTGGCCACGATCCTCAAGGCAAGACTTTGGGCATTCTTGGTATGGGCGGTATTGGCCGTAACTTGAAAGTCAAGATGGATGTCTTTGGCATGAAGGCCATCTATCACAACAGAAGAAAGATGAGCAGTGAGGACGCAGCTGGCGCCGAGTACGTGAGCTTCGACGAACTGCTTGCGAGATCTGATGTCTTGAGCTTGAATCTACCTTTGAATGTAAGTTTGAACTTTTGGACAATAAGCCAACCAAAACATTGACATGGAAATCAGCCCAAGACACGCCACATCATCTCAACCGCCGAGTTTGCAAAGATGAAGAAGGGAGTAGTAATCGTGAATACTGCTCGCGGACCTGTCATGGACGAAGACGCACTGGTCAAAGCCCTGGACTCTGGCCATGTGGCTTCCTGCGGTCTCGACGTGTTTGAGGAGGAGCCCAAAGTCCATGAGGGTCTAATCCGCAATCCTAGAACAGTTTTGGTTCCACATATGGGCACGTGGTGCATCGAAACCCAAATGATGATGGAGGAGTGGACCATCGGCAACGTGAGAGAGGCGGTCACCAAGGGAAAACTTGTTAGTCCCGTGCCGGAACATGTTGATTTGCAATGAGCGGGTTGGCTGTTTGAGGCTTCTGAAGCTGTAAGAGATTGCTATGCTTTACTAGCTATGAGCAAACGGTAGAGCTATTGCTGAGACCAAGCTTCAACATCTATCTATATATACATAATTCACGTGGTTGAGTGGATTATGTGGCAGAGCAAGAAAGGAGGGAGGATTGTATGTGATACGAGCACTTATACATCACCTGAGGATATAAATATCAACTTGGTCAAGAGGCCCCAGCTGAAACATACCCCGGACTGCAGGTTTTAGGCGAGACGGGAAAGTTTGACCGTGTTTGTTTAAGAATCCCAACTGCTTCGGCCCAAATTTGTTTCGGAAAAGACTACAGGAAGGCTGGCTTGGTTGGGATAGTACAGTATCAGAGACTTGCCATGTCGCTGTCAGTCAGTCAGACACACATCACTCCACAGAGTAGCACCCCAGAGCAAGATGACGAGTGCCGCTGAAAGTCGAGCAAGTGCCCATGACGCCGTTGCGCAATTCGTCGGATTAAATGCATGAAGGTAGTGGCACGGGCGTCGATTGATTGGGTGCAGACGCGCAGGTCGAGGGATGGTGGGGAAAGTCGAACAAAAGACATGCCCGTCAAAAGCGGCTTGGATCTGTCTAGCATTGCGACATTTTGTTAGCAGACAGAGAGTGCAAAAGAGCAAGACAGGTGCTCGAGACCGGGCAGGTGGTGCATGTGCCAAACGCAGTACATTTCTACCCAGACGTACAGCGCCAGGCCTCCTGCCGTTGCCTCACCGCTGCCAAACTAATAACACCCCGCAGTGTCGCCATGGCCCATGGTGCTTTCGCTCGTGACTAAGTAGCGCATAGTATTTCTGATGTCTGGTTCCCGATCTGCCTTTTCGATCCTTGTTGCTTCTCAAGGGCTCTTCGTCTAGCACAGGCGGCCAACATGCTGTCGACGCTGCTGAGGCCGAAAAAGAGGCGCGCCAACAAGTCGCCCTTCTCGAGCCCCTTTAACAGTTCGCCCTTGGCTGCGCGCAATGACTACGACCAGATTGACGACAACGAGGGTGCGGGTGATTACGACGACGACGACGGCGGCGAAGATGATCTGGACACACCGCTGTTGCCCATCTTCTCGGCCGCACACTTGGGTTTGTGCCATGACCTTTGTCTCGAGACAGCAGCGCTAATTCAAGACACCNNAGACAAACTGCCCCTGTACAACATCACGCACTCCTGCCGCATACTGATCGTGCAAAAGTGCGAGACCACCCTCACATGGGACCAACTTCGCTCGCCTCAGGTCTCTCAATTCTTGGTCAAACCCATCCAGTCGCAGATCCGCAAAGACCACTTCAACCGAGCGACCATCTGCGCCCTGATCGCAAATTGCTTGCAGTTCCAGAAAGAGGCACAACAAGATGCAGGAAACGCTGGCGTGAGCAAGACAAGAGCCATGGTGTCCGAGTTGCTAGCCATTCGCCTGCTGAAGGAGTTCAATCTCCGTGAACTGATCGATGCGCTGAGTTACGACTTCAATCCGCTCGAGGGCCTGGACGCTCCCGAGGGAGGCGCGCAGTTGAGGCAGTACAACAGGTCTGCGCGTATCTCAACCGTCGAGATCGCCATCCGCGCTCAGGCCAAGCGCTTCCTGGCCCACCCGCTGGTCGTACAGCAGCTCGAGGCCATCTGGGCAGGTAGCATCGTCTTCCACTCGGCCGCTGACAATCTCCACCGCAAACCGCCTACACCACCTCCCACCAGAGGAAGAAGTGGCTATGGCACGATCGCAGACACCGCTGCTTCTCAACCGCTCCCGACCAACAACTCGCAGCCTAGTTTCAGACGAAGTGTCACTCTCTACAATCCCAAAGATGCTTCACTCTTCAAGCTGTCTCGCTTGAGAGTGCCACGCTATAGACAGCTCTTCTCTACCCTCTCCTTCGCCATCATGCTAGGCTTGTTCTTGGCTGTCTTGGTCGATCGTTCTACCGAAATCACTCCTCTCGAGATCGTCTTTTGGTTTTGGAGTGCTGGCTACATGCTCGACGAACTCGTGGGTTTCTCCGAGCAAGGCTTTGGCCTCTACATTATGAGTGTGTGGAACGCTTTTGACTTGGGTATCTTGCTTTGCTTCTTCGCTTACTACGTACTCCGCCTCTATGGTATCTTGATACCTGCTGCGCGCAGGCATCATACTGCCCATATGGCTTACGATGTCCTGGCATCCACCGCCGTACTGCTGTTCCCACGTGCATTCAACGTCTTGGATCATTACAAGTACTTTTCGCAGCTGCTCATTGCCTTTCGCTTGATGGTCCAAGACATGATTGCCATCCTTGTCCTCATAGTCATTGCCTGTAGTGGCTTCTTTGTTGCCTTCACACTGTCTTTCAGTGAAGAGAAGGCGGAGGCCTCCAAGGTTGCATATGCATTGTAAGTTGATCGTCCCAATCGTATCCACATCCTCTAACAGAACCAGNNATTCCAACTGACCATGGGCTTTACCCCCGCTGCTTGGGACCTGTGGCCAAAATATAATCTCTTAGGAAAGGCTGTCTTGGTTGGCTTCCTCTTCCTCTGTCACTTCCTCATCGTGACGATTCTTATCACTGTCCTAACGAACTCGTTCATGGCCATCGTCCAAAACGCCAACGAGGAGCATCAATTCCTCTTCGCTGTCAACACTATCTCCATGGTCAAGTCAGACGCCTTGTTTTCATACATTCCGCCCACGAATCTTNNTTTTGGCTGGGTGGCGTCGCCATTACGCTACCTCATCCCGTTCCGAAGATTTGTCAGGTTCAACAGGACCATCATTAAGATCACCCATCTTCCGATGCTTTTTGCAATCTTCACCTATGAGCGCTTATTCCTCATACGCAACGCGTACACCCCCATGGATCTTGTCGAGCGCAAGGCACCTAGGAGGGGTCGCCTCCCAGCTTTCACTCTGAAGAACACTGGGCCTTTCAGCCCCGGTACTCGTCTTCGTGAACCATCAATCGTGTCTTTCCACAAAGACCGGGCTTTGGAGGAGGTTTTCCGCCGACCGTTTGACATGACGACGCGGACCATATCTCAGCATTCGAACCCTGATCAACGGAAAGCGACAGTCGTCGACAACTGGATGCAGGATATGGGTGACGAGGGAGGTGCGAGTCCTCCGATGGAGCAGCCTCGCTCTGTTCTTGAGAGACTAGAAAACCGCAGACCAGGCATACGACGCGCCCACACCTCAGCTAATAGACTTACTACGGTCAAGCGCGACTTCTCCACAGCTTCCAGATCTGTCTTGTCTGATCCTGAAGATCTTGCTGCTACGATCTTCCCGAGACCTACACCAATGCGTATCGAGGAAGAGACAGACTTGGAGATGGAGCGGGAAGACATGCCTCAGGAAACCGATGCAGATGGTGATGACGAGCTTCTGACTAACGATGGTGATAACATCACGGCTACTGGCTATGACAGAACTCCCACAGGAACTCCAGATCTCATTGAGAGGAAAGATCCATCTCCGAACAAACCTACAGTGAAAGACTACTTTGAGAGTGCAGACTTCCAGACTGCAAGTTCTGTTCCAGACGCCACCAGGGCACGACTTATGAGTGGAGAGCACAAGCGTGCGCCCCACCAACGTAACATATCGCACAGTACTATGGTCTTCTCACCTGTTGTCGAGCAAGGATATACATCATCTGCTTCTGAACATGTACCCAAGTCATCTCGCCCTACTACATCCAAACAGGACAGCGGTGGCTCGACACCATTACTTCAATCAGCACCTCAGTCCAGCGGTCGCAAGACACCGCGTACAAGCAATCCTAGCAAACCACGCCCAAACATGCCCAATCGACTTTCACATTATACTGCACCCAACATACGCTTCGATCGCTTCGGCGACTCAACACGTCGCACGAACAGACAACCGTCTTTCAACGCTCTTGCCCTTGACCTGGCATCCGACTTTGGTGACCATCACCGACGCGATTTGACTCCAGAGCCCTTGTCGCCAGGTTATCAGCCCAGTATTCCAGCGAGCTTCAGCGAGCAAATGCTTCGTGAGCGCGAAGTGGCTTTGGACAAAGAACGACGCCGTCAGGAGCAGAGGCGTCGTAGTCAAGAGGAGGAGAAGGGTATGGTGGGCAGAATCATGCTGACACGCATGAACACTCTCGAGGAAGGTTTCAGAGAGATTCTTCGCGAGGTACGCGACCTCGCACATACCTCACGAGGAACCAGTGATGCGGGTCTGACGGGCATGATCAATTCCCGGTCCTCGCTGATAGTGCCGCCGTCCTCCGACGGTAACGCACTATCTAGGCCCAAGACTCCTGTTAGCAGAACAGGAGGTGCAAGCGAGAGAGCCAGGAGCCCCAAGAAGGGCAAAGGCAAGAACAAGAGCAAGGGTAAAAACTCTATCAACAGCAGCAGCGAGGCTGATCCGATCAGTCCTTTGACTGTTCAGGCAGGCCTCGCTCAGGCCACAAGCCCATCGATCGTCAAGGAACCCGAGACACCTGGCACGGTGAGGGCGTTATCAACGCATGCTGAAGAAGGGGGCAATGACGATCAGAACGACACCGAGAAGGAGTAGATGGTATTCCAATACTCTGGAAGTATGGTGCATACGGCAGAGAAGAGAAAGAAGATAGAGACGTAACGATATTCAGTAGTGTAAGAATTGCATACTGACACAAGTTTGGCATTCAACAAAATAACGAATGTTATCTTCATTGCCTGCACATACTTGTGACATATGTGGACATGTCATGTATATCACTTCCGAACACAGATGCGAGTAGACTGAAGAAGCCATGCCATGGTAAGAAACAGCGATAGATTCCCAGACGATGTCGGATTTGACAAGGATTTCAACCAGGGTCGTACCTGCAACATGTGCACAATATCCTTTGTTGAGCAGGAGCGATGGGCATACGATTGCAACCCCTCCGGCCCCAGGTAATGATTAGGCAAGAGCATGCTGATGTGTGACTTCGGGCTTGACAGAGTTGTGGCACGACAGCTTGTGCTCGGTATTGAAGATGCATAACCTGGCGTAGTTCCTAGTGCTTTAGGTCATGGCGAAGAGGATGCTGTTGACACAAATAGCAACCATGCCTTCTCCTGACAAACTACCCTCTCACAGACAATTACCCGTCCTTGACTCATGTACGTGGATGGGTCATCTCCAATACCCGGTGAGGGGAGGAGGAATTGCTGTTGCAGGTATGCCAAGGCCAAATCCCGCAGCTCAATGAGCTTTCTTCCCCTGGGAAGGTTGGCTCGCTTACTCCCATTCTTTCTGTCCCCCAAAGCAAGTCAAGCAGCTGCCTCGAGTGTTAAGCGAGCAACCCGCCAAGACACATCATTGGCCCGAGGCTTGCGCCGCCGCGACTGACGTGCGTCGTGTTGATTGATTGTTGAATAGAGTCGGCTCGGCTGAGTTGATTGGAGGCGTAGGTAGCTTCGAAGGAGGAGTCCAGGAGCCATGGGCGACAATCACACAGATCCCGTGCTGCGCCTGCAGTCACACCAGTCGCTCCCACCGCCGCCGCCGGCTCCCAGCGACGCCCGAGACGACGCGCAGCCGGAACGCGACCAGACGTCGACGCCGCATAGCGACAAGCACCCTGGACAGGCCCCCACAGCCCCGGCGAACGCGTCGGAACATCAACAACCCAATCAGCAAGAGGGCAATCAGCATCCGGCTGTGTCAATACAAGACGCGTCGGGCGGGTCTGATCCGGCGCAAAGCCACGTCTCACAGCACTCGACGCCTACCCTGCCGCCCATGAATTATCAGCACCAACCCACGGTGCATACTCCGGCACCGGTCTCTGCTCCAGCGCCTGCACATGGTCAGAACGGCCACCACCCGCAACATCACCAACCTCCACCACCACAACACCACCCTCAACCAGCTCCGGCGCACAATACCAATGGTTCACCGGTTCAATACACTCCACATGGCCACGCACCCCCACCGCCAAACTACACGTACCCTTCAGAAGCAGGCATGCAACAAGCCCCGTCGAGTATACAGACCAACGGCGGGCCTGTCAATGGCTACGCACCTCACATGGGCTACCAGGTACCGCTTGGGACACCGCACCTCAGCACAAGTCAGCTTCCAGGAACACGACATAAGAAAGAGATCAAGCGTCGGACAAAAACAGGCTGCTTGACCTGTCGGAAGCGCAGGATCAAATGCGACGAAGGTCATCCTGCTTGTCGTAACTGTCAGAAAAGCAAGCGCGAATGTCTAGGCTACGATCCCATCTTCAAGGCTCAAACCTCACCACCGACCATTCAACCAGCTCCGGGCGTNTTTCCTCCCCAGCCGCCTCAGCAGCAACCGCAACAACAGCAGGTCAAGCTCGAACCACAAATGCCTTCAGAGCCGCAGCGTTATGCGAACGTCCCGCAAGGATACATGCCCGCCGCGAGCGCTGGGTACTCTCCGGCCACAGCCTTACAACCACCTGTCGATTTTGGTGCTCACATTGATCCTGCCTTGGGCCCTGCAAACCCGGCAGTGGCACACCCTCCTGCACAACCGCAGCCCCATCCTCCACCGCCTCAACAAGAATACACAACTAGTTTGCACCCACAGCGAAACGGTATCTTGAACTGCTGCTGCCTGTACCCAGCTTGCTCTTTGCTAACATATCTTAGTGCGTCTNNTGTCACCATGGAGTCGCTGTGCAGCCTCGATGACATCCCACCAACACTGCCTCCACACAATCCTAATCCTCTCCCGTCCAATGACATGGAACAGATTCGCGCCATGTACCTCGCAGAATATGCCTCTGGACTGGACCGCTTCTTTGAGACCAGCTGGTACACGGAACACGGCTTCAATCTTCTCGTCGGAAACCACGATCTGCTACGCTACTTCTTATACTGTATCGAACGCTTCTCACAGGCTCAAAACGGCGGCGGATCACACGGCCTTATGTCTTTGGAAGCTCGTCTCGTGTGGCAACTTGGCTGCATGCCTCGATCCATTCCCTCAAACACAGTTTCGCCACATATCAACAATCTTCTACGACGTCTAGCTATAGTGGATAATTTACTGTGTGGCACGTTTTTGGACTCCGCCATGGTTCCTGCACAACCTCCGGCCAGCCCTCCAGACCCGAAACTCGTTGAGCAATACACTCAATATCTGCAAGACGCCTTCTGGCACCAATTGGGCCGCTTTGTTAGCATCCACGACGACATCATCTCACCTGACGCCGCCCAACAGATTGCTACAGCTCTTGCAGCTATGCGCAATATACTCTCCATGCTCGAGAACCGTGATGTTCTTTATTCAATGGCTATTGCTCGTCACTTCGGTGGCCGTATGGTCGACTATACGGAGAGCAAAATCCTGGTTTCGAAAAGTGCAGAGCCAGATGATCCCATTGCGAAACTTGCCGTTGCAATGAATTTCATCCGTGATGAAGATTCGCAAGGCACGACACAAGTAGTACAAAGGCTGTGTGGTATGTGCAGAAGGAGTTGGCAGCTCCAACGGCAGGCCACGCTGTCTGGATAGGATGCGATTCGGCCAGCTAGCGCTTGCTAAGTGAGAAGAGTTGCCGTGCTTCGTTCATTTGCTTTTCATGATACCATGCCTCTGCGACAAGTAGGCTTCTGCTGTTATTATAATCACCATCCTTATCATACATTAGATTCACATCTCTGCTTTGTTGCAGACCTTTTCCCATCATCTGCTCCAAGCTCGGTGTCTGTATATGAAAACTACATCATGCAAGTGTCGAGCAGCGTTGACGGTGGCTTCATGGTTTGCGCATGAATGTTCTATTAAAAGCACAAAGACCAATACTATGAGTTCATGATTCATTGTGACAAGCCAACAAGACACTGCTCGTGTGTCCAAGCTATCGAGGGTTGGTGAATTAACCGGTACCTTGCCGAGGAGGGCCGAGGGTGGGCAACAGGGTTTGCTTGTTTGACACATGCTCAAACAAATAATGCTGGTGCTTGATGTTTGATTCAGTATTGGATCTTCCTTCCGGATACAGTCATAGGGTTCGGCAACAGCAAGACCAGCCAGTGATGTGTCACACGGACGGAGATTTTGAAGATAGTCGTCTTCGTCGCCTCCTCCAAAGGATCGAGGCAAAGAGTAGGATGCTCGTATCCACGGCCAAACGTTCGCCCTCTTGGTAATGTGCTTCCAAGGTCACAAGTGGGTTCGGAAATGAACAGCGGAGTATTGTGATGTTGTTGTGATGGTCGAGAATCATAGAACTGTTTGATGGGCTCTAGCCAAGCTGTGGATCATTGCGAAGCCTCAGGGACCAGACAACATCTTCCCCTGTCCCCCGCATACACATCGAGTCAATGAGCGAACATCGATGGAACCTCCAAGGAGATGACCGCGAGTCGACTGGCCAACAAAGATGTCATGGTGCATACCGAGCGACCTCACGCTGCGATAGCGCATCTGCCTTGGGCTCGAGCGTGACCAAGGATATCGGCGCGCTTTGTCCGCCCGTATTCACCCTCGACTTCCAGGACTTTCTCTCCTTGAGGGGACACAACGGTCGCATGTTTGTTTGATATTAGACCGTTGCAGCTATGGAGAGCCTTTGGACGAGTTGGGAGTATGCCTCAAGCCATGGCGTCTTGCTCCGGAAACAGTTGTGAGTTTTCTCGGTGGCATGCATGCGCGTAGCTCTGCCGGCACACCTTGGGTACCTCTACAAGTTTCGTGGATTGTAGTCGAGTGTGTTTACAGCATCTGCAACGAACGAGCATCCTGCGACAAACCAATGTCGATTCAACAGCCATCAGGCACAGCAACGCTTCGCTTCGTTTAGCGTCAGGAGAACTCAATCCCGATTGGCTGTGATTTCAACGTCTCTCGGTGTTTGGCATCACGGGGGAAGGTCGCTCCTTCACCCTTTGACAACATCGATCCTCCACACGCGAGAGCTCAACCGTCTAGCCTGTAATTGATATGCTTGTTTCCAAGATGTCGTTGCAAGATGAGCTAGGTAACGGTGCTGCTGCCCGGTAGGGAGGAGATTGCTCTGGCTGAGGCAACTGCACCGTTGCAAGCACAAGCAATACAGTACGTCGAGGGAAAGGTGCCTGCCCCAAAGGGTAAGAAAACCGTATATAAGACACTATCGACTCCCAGCCATCCAATTCTTTTTCATCATCACAGCAAATCAGAAAGACAACAGCTCCTCACCAGCCTCTCCAGTCACCTAATATTATAATAATCAGGCTTCAGCCGTCCATTCATTCAGCACCACAACACTCGCTACCAATAATATCCTAATTATTACCCCCTTCAAACCAACAAAAATGCCTTCCATCAGCAACATCGTCGCCGCCATGGCCTTCACCGCCGGCATTGCCCAGGCCATCCCCCAGTACCAGAACGTCAGCTCTTCCGCTGCNCCCTGTTGCTTCCGCCAGCAAGAACGCCAGCTCCTCTGCCGGTGCTTCCAAGACCTCGTCTGCCGCTGGCATGGCTACTCTCCCGCTCTTGCCGAGTCCGCCTACTGCCCCGGCCTTAACGGTGCTCTCGTCGGTGACTACCTGATTGAGTGCTCGACATCGCATTTCGGAACTATTCTTCAGGTCGGCAACGGCACCGTCGCTGTCGCCAAGCGTGCTGTTTACACCTCCCTCGGTGACTGCATCAACCTCTGCTCTACCACCTCTACTTGTGTTGGTACCGCTTTCGACACTGTTGCTCGCACTTGCACCCTCTACTCTGAGGTCGGCCAGGCTGTTGCCGCCAACGGTGTTGACTTTGCCGTCCTGACCAACCCCAACGGCAACGGTGTCGGTGCCGGTGGTGTCGCTACCTCGACCATCTTCTCGACCCAAGTCGTGACCATCTCCAGCTGTGCTCCCACTGTCACCAACTGCCCCCTTAAGAACGGCGCATCGGTCGTTACCCAGGTCATTCCCGTGAGCGAAACAACCTACATCTGCCCTACCGCCACTACTCTCCCTGCCTCTGCTGTTGCCTGTGGCTGTGCTGCTGTCCCCGTCACTGTCACTCAGTACGCTCCTTCTTCCGGCTCCATGGTCCCCGTCCAGACTGTCGTTGTCAACAGNCCCGTAAGTTGTTCTGATTTCTCGAATTTGGATTTTGATACTAACCCCTACGATAGTGTTCCCACTGCCACTGTCTTGACCACCACCATCTGCACCAGCTGCGCTCAGCCCACTGCCAACATGAACAACGGCAACGGCAACGGCAACAACAACGGTGGTAACAACGGCGGTGCCATCACCTCTACTGTCACCGTCTGCAACTCTGGCAAGTGCTCTGCTGTCGCCACCACTATCGCTGTTGCCTCTGCCACCACCTCTCAGATGGCTGTCTACACTGGTGCTGCCGACTCCGTCAAGGCCGGCTCCGCCTTCGCTGCCTTCGTTGCCGGTGCCGCCATCCTCCTCTAAGCATTTTCACCTTTTTCTCTGAAAGGGTTGAATGGTTCGATATTATACTAATCCAGAAAACAACACAAAACGAACAAAAATATCTGGCCTTCTTGGCTGATGACCATCCCGAGTACTTTACTCTCATATTATACATATTGGGTAACCTACACAGGACTGGACTGATGGGGGCTGTAAATGATTATACAAGGAACTAATCTCTTTCTGATTTACGCTGCTGTTTGATCTCTCTGAGTAAGGGGACGAGTTTTGGTGGTTTGGTGGTTAGTTTTTCTGCTTTTTGATTACTTTCTTGATTTTCAAGTCATTGCAATCTACAAAATCTTTGTTCACAAAATTTGGCTCTCTGCTCTTGAATTTGATCGTCTTTGCAACAACCTCGAGGCTGGCCACTTCTGTGAGCTCACTTGGCAGTATGAAGAGCAACAAACAAATAGTACCCCAACAACACGACCTCTTTGTCGCGTCCAACAAACCGCCACCAATAAATCTTGTCAAGCCACAGAAACGTCTCATAACATTCGGCTCAATGTTGTTCGTAATGAGAATAAGAAAGCCGTTTATGGTCAGAGTCTCGTGAACATAGTTCGAGCATAAGCGCCGAATCATCCATGCTCTGCCATCGAACGAGTCATTCATCCATCGTAAGGTGCCTTCCAGGTTCATCAATAGAATTAAGCGAGAACGAATCGAGTGATCAGACGTCTTGATGTTTGAGCCGCTGGATCCTCTTCGATTGGAATGTTGCTCTAACAAATCCAAGTAGTACATGCAGGAAGGTATGCAGGTACCTTTGTGTTCTTCTCCACGTGGAATTACAACTTACAACTCCAACATGAGGTGGCGTCGCAAGCTGGACACAGCTATTAACCTATACAAGGCTGAGCAGTAGGAGGAAGGAGCCGACATGTCTCCCAACACGCTCGCTGCCTTCGACAAGAAACCCAATGCGCAGTAAAATGCTGACGCTCGCGCTCGTGTTCCCGATAGACCCGTGAATGCCGTCGAAGCCGAGTATAACATTGTTGACGAAGCAGAACAACACAAAGCCAAAATCGGAGACAGGCGTGGGGCTCTCTAATCGACAAAAGGCCTCAAGCTGCACCTGGTTGCTCTACGTGTCATAAAACGGCGATGGACTACAGAACAGAACGTCCTAAGAAGCAGGAAGAGGTTGTTAGCTGCCACAAGGCGGTCAGGGCCGACGTCTCTCGCTGCTGAGATCCCCTTGATCTCATGATTACTTCACGTGTCTTTTTCCATCTGGCTGTTTACTCCGGTGCTCCTTCCATTTTGATTCGCAGATTGTTCTTTCCTCTCTTGACTCGCGAGTTGTCCCTGCCCCCCTTCGGTTTGTGGTCATTCTTTCCTCTTTTGCTTGATGGGTTGCTCCATCCTCTCCTGATCTGCAGATCGCTCCTTCCCTTTGATTGATTGCAGAATTATATAAAGTCTAAAAATCATGCCTCCTCTTTCTCACACCACGGCCAAACATCACCTGTTCTTCTTCAGATCATCGCTACAACAGCCTCACACGGGGCCATGTGCCTGCCTGATTTTACATGTGCCGGTCGCTCCTCCTTCCCTTCTCTTTGTCGCAACTTTATATAGAAGTTCAAAATTAGTGTTCTCCATAGGCGCTTTGGCTGAGTGGTTATAGCGATAGACTAGAAATCTATTTCCTTCGGGAGCAAGAGTTCGAATCTCTTAGGCGTCGGTCTTTTTGCCTCCTCGAGCACACTCGAGCGCTCTTGTATGCACCTAACGAAGAACCAAAGTGGCCAGGTCGAGTTGTGGTGGACTTGGGTGTGCTGGTGCATAATGTTTTGCCAACCAAACTCCGGCGCTGTGAGCCTTGGCGCAGATTGATGAGCAGTTCCCGTACGATCAAGGTGTGGCATTCGAAAGTCGTGGGTGCACAATCCAGACAGTCTTTACTGATTCCGTCAGGCCTCGAGGCAAGACGATAAGAAGAGATGGGTTGTGGAAGTTGTGCCAAGACAACTTGATGGACCTTGACCAGTGTCAGATGCTCTACCTATCGGTGTGCATCATGAAACTATGCCATCACTGACAAGCTTGACGGTAGCCGGACATTTACGCACAAAGAAAGAGGGTAGACTATACTGTTGTTGAGTGGTTGCAATTCTGAAAGGATAGATCTGATAACCTATAAATGCTGTCGGTATGTGTTCATGATTGATATACCATTACTTATCGCTTCACGTTACAGATATACTTGAGTACCATGCAGAAGATGCGGCTGCCGTAGATCTTCAAAGGCAATACATGCTTGAAACACCGTGGGCTCAGCTCCTCATGGACATAGGCTTTTCCATATCAAGACTTGGCACGTTCACTGCGAGAGATGAATGGCATATAAACGTGAATTGCGCGTTTCATCAGAGCATGTACGGGATAAATATACCGAATGATGGTTCCGTCCTTGCTCGACTGCCACCAAGCTTTTCAATAATTCAGAAGCGTGCATCCATGGGAATGAGATTGCGTTAGTGTTGATCTTGGCCGGTGCCGAATCATAGCTGGAGCAGAATGATGGCGAGCGGTTTGCTGCGTGAGACAGCAGACGTGAGGCGACAAGAGTAAAGTGCGATTGACAAGTTGATTTTTGCTTTTATTGCATGAGGGTTGTTGTGTTTGGCGACATTTACTCGACGTCGGCCTTGCCCTCGAAGTTCTCACCCTCGACGAGGTCGGGGATGTCATCATCGTCCTCCTTCTTGTCCTCACCCTCGACACCCTTCTGCATGCTCTGGTAGCTCTCGGCGAGCTTGCGGAGGGAAGCGAGCGAATCGGGGCCAAGCTGGTTAAGAATGCCGGGGACAAGCTCGGTCAGCTCCTTGTCCTCACCGTTGCCGTAGATGGCGAAGGTGTTGGAGGGGATGGCAGCGTGGACTTTNNGGTGGGCACGTGTCAGCATTTGGGACAGGCTTCTAGAGGCAGACGGGTGCAGCAACTCACCCTTGGGGGCAGCAAAGTGGATGACGTTGCCGTCCGACTTGAACATGTTGACCTCCTCAATGGCGGGAATGGGCTGGACGTTCATCTTCTTGAGAGCGGCCTGGAGCTTCTTGTCGTCACCACCACCGGATCTGTTGACCTTCTTGACCTTTCTTCTGGGAGTACCCTTGCNCACTGTTGTTCGTCGTGTATCAGTCTCGGCGCGCGCTTCTGGCGAGTTTGTAAGGATGCAGAGCTTACCCTGCGGCATGGGTCAGCAGGGCACGAAGTTCATAGGCTGGCGAGAGTGCATACCGATGCGCACGGCATTTTGAAGACGTTGGAGCTTTGCTTGATCCATGGCTGCTGGAGGAAAATCTGTCGGGCGGGCGACTTGTCAGGGGCGAGAGCAAAGAGCGGCGGCGAGCGAGACTCACGTGAGGCGGGACAGAGGATGGGTTTGGTGGTATTCAGCAATTGGGCCTTGTCGCTGTCGTCGTCTTGTCTCAATCGCTGCTCTGCTTCCCTCTTGGCCCGTGCGTCACGACCTATTGTTATTCGAGCGTGTGGGCGTCCTCGGCTAACGCTGAATTCTTGATACGTCAGTCTATCACCACTCGTACCACGAGAGCAACAACCCTCTACAGACATGTCTAACTGAAGCATTCTGTAACCACTCGGCCTTGTCTTACTTGCAATCCATATCAATTTACTGGGGCCCTCCCCTCTTCCTCGTCCAGACCTGCATCTGTCTTGACCAAGGTCGAAACATGTTGCCAAGCAAAGTGAAGAAGTCAGGGTCATACACCGGACAACATGTCAAGGACAATGTTTGCTGTATTTTGATATATATACCATGCTTCCATCGCCCAGACATGCTTGTAAAGAGCCCGTATAACCTCTCTTTACTCTCTTGATCCCACTACGGATGGCTAGAGTGCTGTGGCAGACCTAGCGCTCCGATTTCCTTTTCCGGAGGTCGAGTGAACAAAGAGCCATGAATCTATGGGCAAAGCAAGCAGCATCACAGCCATGATCAATGGTTGCCCGGATCTGTACCCGATACGAAACAAACACTCTAAGAGATAGAAAGAAGGGAATTCTCTATATTGCCCTCACACCACATCGTGTCAAGTCATATCTTTTAGGATTGATGCTGGTTATCATCGATGAACTTGGCACACACGTCACAGCACGACGCTTTGCAGGAATATACGAGGTCGTAGGCACGCGCCTGTCACCATGATAGCAAGCGGTATTGTAGTCCATGCAAGAGCATGCATGATTTTACCTATGACCTATACAGAAAGTCGAGGAGCCACACAGCTGTGGCACACAGTGGCTGTGCAGCAGCGATCATGACGTTTAATTTCCGCTGTCATCTCTCCGGAGGCTGGACCTTGTTTCCAGCCTCTTTATCCCTGCTCTTGTATGAGAAAATTCTCTGCCAAACGAGCTGAGGCCGCTTGTTGTTGCACGCATGGGAATCAAAACCGTGCGCGAGAGCGTGCAGGCGCGCCTAACGCATGAGGTAAGGGTTAGAACACCGTGTAGATTATTCCCGAATCGGGAGCAATCTATATGCCTTGGTTGCAATCAAGAGAATACCTGATATTGAACAGATGTGATATCATGGTCACACCGGAGCATGCATTTAAGTGCTCCTGCTGTTTGACGTCTCACAACATCCATCAACAACACTTTTTTCACATTCCTCGCGTCTTCGCAAAACAACAAACACTTCTCTCCCAACTTGTCCTTTTCGACATCCCCTTCTCGAACAAACCACACATTCAAAGCACACACTCACACACAACGCAATGGGTGCCGTCGTATCTTGCGTAAGTAGTTTTTCTCTGCTCTCCACGATAACAGTACCTGATTGGATGTCAGATCACCTCGGTGTTCCGCGCCATCGGCGCTGCCCTGATGGCCGTCGTCAACGGAATCGGTGCCATCCTCAAGGCCATCATCAACGGAATCGTCGCCGTCTTCGACATCATCATCTCTTGCCTTACCTGCGGTAGAGGTGGAGGCCGCCGTCACAAGACAACAAGTGCGGTCTAGTGAGCGGGAGCGAGCACGAAAGGGGTTTGAGAGTCAACCAGCATCTTCCCTGACATCGAAACTATACCGACGACAAAAACACCGCCGACCATTCCATCGACTAGTCTTGGATCATCACGACGCTCTCCCATCACCTTTCACACGGCTCAGCGGCATATCGCTCGCTCCCGCAGCCCTTGATTCACCCATCCCTTTTTTCGGAAATTCACGACCAGTCATGGATACACCACATAAGAGCGACATGAATCACACCAGTTACGACCAGACGAGGGGACGCATTGATACCCATTAGTTCAGCGAGTTGAAAGTTTTATACCCTAATGACAATATTTCAAGTTCAAGCCACAAATGAATCCGCCAAGCCTGCTTCAGTGAACAAACCAAAACGCCCATGCGAATATGCAAACAACCTCTAGCAACCAACCTGGTTGTACGCGCAGCATGCGACGATGGTGTCACTCACCAACGGGAAATGGTCGCACACTCGTGAGCAACTCACCACTGATTCATCCTCGTCTCTCCAGATAATCCCTCGAAAGCATCCTAACCTTCTGCACAAATGCGCTGGCTCCACTATCTGCAGCCACCTGCTTCAAATTTAGACTCTTGAGGTGGCTAATGGCGCCGTCGTGGTATCGTCCACTGGCGGTGAACTTCTTGCACAGACTGTTCATGTGTCAGCGAGCTCGATCATCAAATGCATATTGACGCATAGCTTACAAGTCGTTGGAGAGGTATTGGGCGAGGTACAAGACGCAACCCATACCCAATGTTTCACATAGGCAGGCCAAGTTCTTGCCCACCTTGTATTGTTCGACGACATCACACTCAGGAATCAGCAACTTCAATTCGTTCTTCATACGATCTGACAATCTTTTTCCAGAGACGCCTGGAAAGTGATGCCTACCAATGTCGTAAAATGCCAGGGCGGTGAAAAGCTCGCGCAAACGCTGCACACTACGTTGCTGGGCGCTCTTGGATGCCGACATGATGCCGTCATGGATTGTTGCGTCACGATAGGAATCGACAAAATGTCGAGGACCTGAAGCCAGGATCCCCTGATAAACAGTATCGAGCACGGGATGGCGACAGCGATGAAAAGGACCCCAAGGATCCTTTGATGTTGTTGCTGGTGGGGTGGAAGATGCAGATTGAGGTGAGCCTTCTGGTCCCAAGAAGTGGTCTGCCAGTTGACGCAGTACGGTTTCCTGGTCCGTAGTCAAAGTAGATGAGTCCAGGCTGGCTTGTAAGTCGGCAGGGTCCAAGCCAGCCATTTGGTTGAGGATAGTGAGGATATCAGAGAAGGTGGTTGTCATGGTCGTTCTGATGTGGTAGTATGATTGGAAATGTGGAGCTTACCAATAGTCAGAGCACGCGGGAACATATATCTGCTAGTCAAAAGACGTATAGAAGTCCGAAGGCTCATAGCTGTTGTCACTGATAGAATCATGTCTCGAGTCGAATGCACAAGTTTGTCTCAGGCTCAGTTGGAGACTGAAGCGATACATGATGGCGGACTGTCCGAAGCATACGTCGATTACGCCGAGAGTTGAAGACATGAGTTCCGACTCATGTTGACGTCGCAGTTGGCCTGAATCGAAGGGTCAAACAGTCAAAGACAAACAGCAGGCTCCGAGACACGGCACGATGACAGGAAAGTAGGCTCAAGACCAGTCGAAGACACGATTCAGGCAGAGATTAGCAGTGACTTGTGACCTAGCTTATGGGAGATGGATGAGGTAGGTAGGTAGTCACAGCACGCCAAGCCAGCACTTTACGGCAGACGCGTGAAACGCGTCCACCAAGCAGAACGGGCAGGCTTGCTCTCTAAACATACTGCAACAGAAGTGCAGGCGACACAATGGCCAACGAATACGACGAATACCTATCGGCCACTGTGCTGAATGATGGACAGACGGCAAGTCAAGCTATCCGGATTATCACGACCGTCTCCTAACCCCCGAGGCACAGNGTTAGCTACCGCACCTTGAGTCGAGCACTCCGAGTGCACACCAACCTCGCCAAACAGATGCTCTACCACTTCCACCGTACCCAGAACAAGAAACAGCCGAACTCGTTGCACGCCACATACCTAGTCACTGGAACCCAGACTCTGTTGCCACAACAAGCAGAAGATGATGCTCCAGAGAGCCAAACCCGTCCTGCCCACCAAGAGCCCCGAGGCTATCAAGCCACATCGTTGCTTTTGGTAGACGAGGACGACCTCGACAGTCAGTCAGCTCTTTTCAACGCCCACCAGGGACCTATTTGCTGATTGCCATGTCCTTGCAGCNNCGCCAAGTCTACCTTTGACGACGTCTTGTCAGTACACGTCTACAGCATTCAGCCCAGCAAGATCAACGTACCATCGCTCCGCATACCTTTTGCTTCGCAAATCAGCTGCTGAACTTAGACANNGGATCTGCATGTTCTGACCGAGTGCAATCGAGCCATCATGGCTGCCTCTATCCACGAGGACCTGCTCGAAACCTACAACCATTATGGAGTCATCCACAATGCCCAAGTAAAGGCAAGAGTTTTATGACCAAATCAACAAGGCCCATTTACTAATATAGCACTGTTTAGCGTCGCTCCATGCGCAACCAACAGCATCAGCCGCAACCACCAAAACCCACACCCTCAAATCCTGAAACAAAGCCAGCCAAATCCATCTTCTCGTCTACCAAGTCTGCCNACCAAAGACGTCTCCAAGAGCACAACGACTTCGACCAAATCCACCCCGGATTCATCACAGGCTTCGACTCAAGCTTCGACCACATCTACCGCTGCGAAGACCGCTCCTCTCAAGCGAGAAGGCTCGAGCTTGTTCAAGGCATTTGCCAAAGCCAAACCGAAGACACTGAGCCAGCCGACCGAAAGCTCCGCCGAACCTTCACCTGCCGTAGATCCGGTCACCAAGGAGGATGGTCAGTACTTCAACAAGCATGAATAGGCGCAGCAGCTAACTTATATCGTAGAAGCCATGCACGATTTGTCAGACGAGGAAGCCGACGATGAAGATGCCGCTATGCTCGACGAAGGTGCAATCATCGAAGCTGGAGGCAAATCNAAAAGAGAGAGAGAGGACGAACTGCGCCGCATGATGGATATGGAGGGTAAGAATCATTCACTCGCACTTATATGCTACAAGACTGACTTGACATAATCTNNAGACGAACCAATGGCCGATGCACCAACCAAAGCTATTGCGACAGAAGCTCCAGAAGGTGCAGAGGACGAACCCGGCTCCAAATCGGAAGCACAGGCGAAAGAAGAACCCGAAGAGACCGTCACTGTATCTGATGGTCGCCGGCGAGGCAGGAGGAGAGTGATGAAGAAGAAGACCGTCCAAGATGAAGAGGGCTATCTTGGTATGTACAAGGCTCCGAACAAACTCGATTTTGAGCTGACCAGAATCNNCCTAGTGACACGAGAAGAAGCCGCCTGGGAGTCATTCTCGGAAGAAGAGCCTGTGCCCAAGAAGGCAAAGGTGTCGGTAGCGCCCACTACCACCAAGACCAAGAAGGCTGCTCCAAAGGGACAAGGAAACATCATGTCGTTCTTTTCCAAGAAATGAGTACGGTCGGACAGTGCATGGTGCGGGCTCAGGCAATTGCATCATATCTCGATGTCGCCCTGGCCACAGAGTGTTCGCATTCGTATTCGGATTCATGTCTTTACAGTGGTATGTCTCTATAGTGGTTCACACGATGAATACAGACACCTCTGTAAAACTTGGAGAGTGCGTCCCACCTTCCTGGTATCACCAATGACCTGGTGCAATGAAAGGGTCAATCAGGTAGGCTGAGAATTGATCGCATTGTGATTATCTACTTTTGAACTCCAGCCATAATATCCCATACTCGTTACAAGCAAGCTCGTCAATCAATCTCGTCCCTCTAGCAAGTGTTGTGCAATGATTCATATCTCGTTCAACAAAGTATCTCGTTCATTACTTATGACAGCCGAAAGAAAAACAAAAGAAAAAGAAAGTACAAACAAAGACAGCAATGGCAATGGTTGGTCAAGAGGAAGATGCAACACCGGCAAAGACCGGATCAAAAGCTGTGTGCATGCAGTACGTGATGCTGCCTGGTGGCGATGCGATTACAAGGCAAAGGAAATGCTGAGAATGGCCGGCGAGACCCGGACGGCAGAGTAGCAAGACGTGATGAGCGTGCTGAAGGGATGCTGTGTATGTGTGTCGTGTCGGAACATGCTGCAAGATAAGAAAGTGACAAGTTGTGCTGTGAAACCCGCAATCCGTTCGGGCAAGAGAGCGTTCGTTGGATCATCAGTCGTCAGTGGCCGTCATGGAAAAGCGACCAATCAAGAGATCTGGTCGTCCGAAGTGGTCAACTCCACGGCAATCTGGTCGCCACGAGCAATTGCTGGCGAAGAGTTGGTGCCCGACTTGGGATCAGCAAGCTCACTGCGAGCAGGAAGCTGGTTCTCCGAGTTGGTGCCTCCGTTGGACTGGACAACAGGGTACTGGATATTGTTGCCATATGGCAAAGCAGCAAGAGGAGTGCGGCCAGACATGTTGCGGAGAGCGGACTGAGACCAGCGCTGATTTTGGACTGGCACACNTGTGACGAACGTGTTAGCTAACGAGTGGGATGAGGCATATGAGCAAACTGACCTGGTCGTCATGTAGGTCTCGAACTCGTTGTTGGAGACGTACGAGCCGCGGCTCGAAGAATAACCGGCCTTGTGGGCCTGAGTGGCATACTCGTACTCAGCAGAGCGGAATTGACGAGCAGCGGCTGTCTGCTGCTTGAGCTGCTTCTGCTCCTGGGTGTCGGCAAAGCGAATTTGAATCGTGTACTCCTCACCGCCGACGTTGACCTTGTAGTTGTTGAACTTCTTGATGACTTCCTCGCAGACCGTTCTGGACTCGAAACTGGATAGACTGTCAAATTGTGCTCATGATGGGATCGACAGAACAACTCACCGAGCAAAGCCGACTCCACGACAAGTACCGTTCTTGTCGCGAAGGATTCTGGCCGAGCAAACCTTGTGAGGAGTAAAGACAGATGCAAGCTCGTGCTCATTCAGAGACTTGGGCAGATTGGAAACGTAGAGGTTGGTGTTACCCTCATCAGCGAACGTCTTGAGCTTGGAGTAGAAAGATTCNNCTGCGGGTGTCAGCGGGCGGGTCTCAAATCATGGTGAGCTGGCCAAGGAGGAACATACTCTGGCGAAGCTGACTTCATAGCCCAGGTAGTGGAAGCCGCGGATGCAGTTCTCGGCGTCTTCGTAGTTGTGGTACTTGACGAAGCCAAATCTATAAGCACCAGCGTCAGCATGGCCCGGCCAAAGGATATGACATTCCAGACTTACCCNCTTGCAAAGGCCGGTGGAGTGATCGATGATCGACTTGGAGCTGCGGATGTCGCCAAAACGCTTGCCCCAGCCTTCGAGCATCTCGTCGGTCGTCTCAGGATGAAGACCACGGATGTAGACATTGGTTTCGCCGCGGATGTTCTCCAAAGCTCTGTCGAGTGGCTTCAAAGGAGAGCTGGGGGCTGGGATGGCCTGAGGGATGGGAGGCTCCTTGTTCACAAGCATGTGAAGGCTTGGAGAGATGCTGCGGTGCTCCGCCATCTTGGACAAAGGCATGCCGTAGGGGGCGAGGACTTGAGTGGGCGAAGGAGAGCTCTGCGTGTACATGCCGCTTGGGGAACGGGTGACGATTGCAACGCCGGGGACCTGGTGATACGTAGAGTAGCCAGCGTACGAGGGGGTGCCAGGGGCGTCGTTCTCGTTGGATGAGATGGAATCACGGCGTGGAGTGATGAGAGTCGGGACTTCGCCAGTTGTGTGGCTGGGCGTCCAAGCCTGCGACATAGGACTGTTGTCGTGCTGCTGCTGCTGATGGTAGCCATGGGGAATGTACGGAGCAGCCATCGGAGTGTAGAGGCCAGGGTTGTGCTGGTGGACGGCAGCAGGGTAGGAGTGGCCTCCGGGAAACATGAAGTGATTGGTGGCACCCCAAAGAGCAGCGGACATGGGATGGCCGTTGAACTGGTGGCCAGCAGCAGCCATAGCGGCGGCCTTGGACTGGTTCGAGTAAGTGGCATCGTGGAGATTCATGCCTTGGAGACCATGAGTCAATGCCGCCATGTTGGCAGCCGTGTGGTCTTGCTGCGTACCGTAACCGCTGTGATAGTTGGTGTTGGTGTTGCGAGCCAAGTAGCCTGGACCACGACCGCCCATGGCCTGACCACCGCGGTTGTAGGAGTTGCCGCGCTGACTTTGAGTGTCGGCCATGCTTGACATACTGACTGTGTATCAAGTCAGTAGCTACAATGAGCGAAGTGGAGATGATGACTTACCTGGACTGATGAAAGAGTGCTTCGAGCCGAAGGGGTTGATAACAAGGTGCAATGCGTTGTATCTATCGGACAAAGAGGTTGATGAGCACAGAAGCTATGCTATCAATGTTGCGCCGCCACGGACAGAATGCAAGAGATGAAGAAGATGGGAGATGACTGTCAAGAAGACTGGAGAGGAAGAAAGAGGGCGATGAGATGGGGATGAGGTCGAGGTCGAGGTCGAGGTCGAGGAGAGAGATGAAATGAAACAGTGCAGTGCGCACTATCCGGGTCGGGTGTTGCAACGACTCGTTCTTTCCCGGGCTATGTGTATATTCGAGTGGTCGAGGAAGGAGCTTCTGAAATTTGCATGTGCTTTGGCGGGGTGGCGTGAATGAGAGAAGGAGCATAGGTCTCGTTACGTACTAAACTGGGAGCGGCAGGTATGATGTGTAATAGCGGCGTCGATGGACTAGCATGTGCAATAGCCACTCTACAACTCAACGCGAGAGAGATGAATATCAGAACTGCGACCGAAGCAAGAAAAGAAGAAGAGAGAGAGAGGACGAGAAATGTATGCCGGAATCCAAGATAGCAATGCAAAGATGCGCGCATGCGGTTCAAGTCAATGTCATCCAAACGAAGCTCGAATGCAGGTACGGCGGGAAGGTTTGCTCTCTTTTATCTGATGTCTGAATGACCAGGACGAGCATGGAGGACGAGTAGTGTTTTGAATATGCAAGCCGAACCGAATGGGTGGATGCTGCTGCGAACCACCTCGAAATCCTCCGGCTACACAACCTGCACCAACCACTCTCTACAGCACCTGTTGAGCTCTATTGCTACAGTTGCAGTGTATCAAGTCGGCAGACAGGGGCAGCTTCATGGACTTGTTCCCCTTGAAGATTGGACTGCTGCCTGTTATCTCGGTTTGCCACTATTGCACCACGAGCTCTTATCGCTATGTGTTTGAGAGAACACTTTGCGAAGCAACGTGATCATGAACGGGCAGACACATCGTTGTCATGCAGCAGTCCTAAATCACGCCCATAACAACCATAAAAACTCACATATCAACGACCCACTGGACAGCGGTCGACAATGTGCCAAGGCAAGGGGGAAACAACCATACTGGACTTAGCATCTTGCATCTGCTTGTCATTCAATATATATTGTGTGCAGCCGATACAAGCCCCGGTTTATGGCGAAATACTGAGCCATGCAGACGTCTGTACAAAACCGCAGGCTAAAGCAACTGGGCAGATAGTTAGGAGCCGTGGTGTCACGGCTTCAGGTCGCACCAAGAGGGGCCCGTTTGTCTCGAATTTGAAGCGGGATCCACTGCCGTAAGCCCGCTGTTGCATGACAAGTCTTGTAAGAGGCACGGAGTATTCTGACGAACAGCATGGTTGGATTGGTGATGCACTTGGAACCTTCAAAGAGTACCGCAGGAGCAGAAGACGTCAGGAGGTCCTTGCGTCGGCTGTTGTCCGCTTGGGCTTTGATGAACCTGGATCTGGATGACAGACACGAGCGAATCGACCACATCATCTCCGCTGCAGCCACGGTGACCTCAGATGCAACAGGGCAACCAGGTTAGCGGAAGGGCTCTGCAGTTCGGGGAATTGCGTCTGCATAAGCCGCCACCTGTCACGACCTGTTTTGAAACAGATACATCACATTATTCTGTTGAGGATGAATATTATGACACAGATATATTTTATCAACTCATCCAAACCGACCATCGCTTGACCATGCAAACATGACGCGTAAAAACACTCCAAGGGGGCAGAATGGACACATCCATATTTTCCCTCATGACCAGACATCTTCTTGGTAGGCATTGCTGTTGCGCATGGCCTTGACAATGTCCTCTGCCTTGGATTCTGAAATCCCTCTCTGTTCGGCAATGATCTGTCCGAGAACGGTGTTCACCTCACGCGCCATATTTGCGGCGTCGCCGCAGACATAGAAGTAAGCCTTTTGCTGCAAAAGTCGGTCGATTTCGACGGCGCGTTGCTTGAGAAGATGCTGCACATAGACCTTCTGGGCGCCTTCACGAGAGAAGGCGGTCAGCATCTCGAAGTTTTCGCCCATGTCGTTCTTGTAGGCCTGTGTGACCGTCAGTACGTTGTAGTTTGCCTATGTGGGTTCTTTTTCACTTACCTCCCACTCGTCCGCATAGATGAAATCCTCTGCCTTCTTTCGGCAGCCGAAGAAAAGCATAGTTTTGCCGACTGTCTCGCCATCGCGTGCCTGCTTGGCACGCTCCTGAATGAAGCCACGGAATGGAGCGACGCCAGTACCCGGGCCGACCATGATTATGGGCTTTGACGGATCTGAGGGAAGCTTGAAGTTGGAGTGACGAACGTGGACAGGCACGTGAATGCCGTCGTACTTGTTTCTAGGACCGGTGATTGCGTAGTCTAATCCATGGGGGTCGGGGTTGGGGTCGCCGTGCTGCTTTTGCTTGAGAGCCAACAGGTAGTTGGTGGTGACACCCTTGAGCACGTGAGAAGCTCCTGGAACCTCGACCGATTCGACAATGGCGGTGATGGAGATCTTGTTCTTCTGCACCAAGGAAGACGATGAAATTGAGTAGTAGCGGGGCTGAATCTTGTGAAGACCTTCAACAAAGATGGTGAAAGGCACATTGTCCCAAGTCTTACCTTGAGACAAGAATTCGAGGAGCTGAGCGAGGTTGTAGTTGCGGGCCGCGACCTGGTCATGGAAGTAATCCCTGTCGCTACCCATTTTGGTCATTTCTGCTTTAATACTGTCATTAGGCGAGAAGGGGGCGAGGGCCGAAACGAATTGTCTCGAGACAGGAGCGCAGATTTCCATGTGGTAGCGGACAACAGCGTCGTAAGTGGTGGGCGAGGGGAAAGGAATCTTGGCCGTGGCATCCAAGCCCTTGACGGAAATGACCATGTGGCGTTTCTCGCTGAGACCGAGGATGTTCATGAAACGATCAACCTCCTTGCCGGCGTTGGTAGGCCAGATGGCAATGTGGTCGCCGGTGGTGTAGGACAGGTTTGAGCCGCTAATGTCAATTTCCATATGCAGACAGTTTCTGTCCTTGATGGTGAAGAGCTCTTTGGACTCGGCAATGGGTGCAATGTAGGGGTTGTGGGCGTTGAAAGGGCCCTTTTGCTTGCCCTCCAGATGGTTCTTGTTGGGCTCACCCAGGTAGACATCGTCCGACTCAGCGTCCATGTCTGGCTTTTCCGTGACCTCAAGGACGGGCTCGTAGACGGCTTCGCGCTCCTGCAGTTGCATGGATTCGGCCAGGTGTTTCCACATGGGCTCCTTCCAGGCCAGGAAATCTTCTTCCATGGTACCGGCACCATCGTCGCCTTCGCCAGCAGTACCGATTCTGTTGGCACCGAGCCTGTCGAGGAACTTGGTAACGTTGCGAACCATGGAGTTGTAGTGCTCGTAGGTGTTGTTGCCGAGACCGAAAGCGACGTACTTGAGGTTGGCCAGAGGCTTCTCGGAAACGCCGCCTCCCTGGGTGAAAGAAACGTCCTCACTGCTGATGAACTCGTAAAACTCGACGGCGTTGTCGGTGGGCTCACCCTCGCCGTAAGTAGCCAGGACAAACATGGCAACCTTGTCTTCGGGGAACGAGTCGAGATTCTCAAAGTCGTACTCCTCGAGATCGGCCGTCATGGTCTTCAAGCCGAAACGAGAGGAGCCTTCCTTGGCCAGACGCGAAGCATAGTCCTCGGCAGTACCGGTCTGCGAGCCGTAGAAGATGACACAGTTCTTGGTCGACTCGTCCATCTTTTCAAGAATGTCCCTCGTCTTGCCAGCCTTAGCGGCGGCGCCGTTGGCGAGGGAGCCAGCATAGGGGTCTTTGGCGACGGCCCAGTACGTGCCCTTTGTGAAGTAGGCGACGGTGCCCAGGAGCAGAGCGGCCAGGACGACAATGTCGAGTGTGTCGAGTTGCGCCATCTTGTCGACAAGTGGCCGGGACGGAGGTGGACGTGGACGAGCGAAGAGGCGAGAGTTTGCAAGATGAACGGTGAGGTGTCCACTGAGATTGGGTGCGGGGCGGGCTTATCAAAAGGACCGCTCAACAGATGCGAAGACTGAACAAGACCTCAGAGTGCAGCAGAAGCAGACCAGGACTCGCAGGCACGATGAGAGAAGGCAAAAGGAGACTTGTCAGACTTCAGAAACACACAGTCTAGCTAGAGAGCGGGCCAGGGGGCTCGGGCGATTATTACTAGTGGCATGATTATGCTCTTTCGTCCTTCATGTCCGCATCATGCAGTTGACCGCGTCGGCAAGCGGACCTCTCTTGAACGGCCAAATTCCGCCCGCTCGTTCGGCTCCACGCTCTGCCGGTCCGGCTACTTGTACATTTCTCTACGGACACAGCGGCACTTGAGCAAGAGAGCAAGAGAGCAAACGAGCAGCAGTAGACAGCAGTCCAGGCTGCCGAGGACGAGCACTGCGGCCCAGTACAGCAGCCCGAGAGGTGCATCGAGGCCAGCCATGGCAGTGCGGCGTTGAAGTGTGCTGTAGTCTGTATCAAGTAAATGGGCGTGTCCGGTGGTGCTGGCCGTCGTCTGCAAAGGGAACCCCACACTCTGTGCATCCAGGGTCGCGCAGGTGCTAGCATCGTGCTGCCAGTCAAGGACTGCTCGTCCGCAACCCTCTCAGTCTTTGCCTGTGTGAATACCGTCGTCGCCCATCCCCCTCGCCGTGCCCCGTCTCTTCTCCTCGGACCACCCGCCTGCGCAGGAGCGGCACCACGCTCGCCCATGGCGCTGCAGCTAGACGCGCAATGAACAAACCCCAAAATGCCTCGCCCTCGCTGCACGACCCGGGCGAGAGCTTGGATGCTACCAATCCTCCGCTCTCTTCGTCCGCACCCGCACCCGCCTCGGCCTCTGCGCCCTCTTCGACTACCAGGGGCCGCGCGCCGAGTGCCTCCTCGCGCGCCCCGTCTTCGCG